GCACGACTTTCCTCCACCATCAAGCCACTGTTACACCTGCTGCCATACCGGGACTGGCCATAGGGAGAATCGGGAATATTCCCAGAGTGCTGGCCGTGGATTGGTCTGGTGGTCTGCGTGTCACTCCCGCTCTCTTTTTTTTTATTTTTTATTTTTTGTAAGTCTGCTGGTGCAGCATCAGCTGGCCTGTCAGAGAGAGGGACAGACAGGCCACTTTGGCCATTAGAATTTGAGAAGGGGCACAGACAGCAGCATGTGGAGAAAAGGTGTGTGTGACGTGTGTCTGGTGCAAGCTGCTGTGCTGTGTTAAGGTAGCAAGCAGTGCAAGTGAGGATAAGAAGCAATGAACTGGGTCTTAGAATGTAGTAAAAGGAAGAGGGAAGATGGTGCTGAGATGGAGAGAGACAAAAAAAGAAAGGTGCTGGAGGAGGAGGACGTGGCCAAATGCAGAAAAGTAATGGTTTTATTCATGGCCTGGTTACATGACTGCCTCCTAGCCTAAAAAAAATCTCACAGTTCGGCCCCGCCTGCTGCCAAGTTCCAGAGAGCCTGCACTTGTGCAGACTCACTATTTAAGGGCTGAACGGTCCATTCGCCCTACCCACTACAGGGTTTGGGATGGCACTTAATGTGGTGGACCCTCCTCGGGAACATGCAAACACAGGGTTAGTGCTTAGGGGCCGGTTTGGAATTGGGCCTTCCAGTCTTTTCCACAAGTACTTTATGGTAGCTAAAAAAGCTTATTGGAAGATTTATGTTGTCATAGAAGCAACCTTTCTCCCTAGTGACCTCATCCTCCAGACCCTATGGGCTGAGCTGAAGAGAGGAGAAAACAAGGATTCAGACATTCAGAACATTAAAAATGCAAAGGCAATTGGTCAAAGGTTTTCTTATCTTTCATGTTACAACTTTGAAAAAAAGAGAAATTTAGTGCCTTCCTTGCAATAGGTCGAATGTGAAAAAGATGTAGCAGCTGCTGTGGTACTGGAGGAAATAAAAATGATCTTTTTATTAAATGAGGATTATTCAACATATTCTCATTATCAGTGCGTATGAAATCGTACGAAACAGTTATGCACACTATTTCGTACGTTTTGGACGTTTTTCCTCAAAAAACCACATCAGTGCGCATGCGCTGGCAGACAGAAAAAAAAAACAGATCCGCGGACGGACGTAAAAATGGGAAAAACAGTGCAATTATCACTTATTCATGTCTCTAACTACTTTGCTTGCTGATTTATATCTTAAGGTTAGGGTTAGGTGTAGGGTCAGGGTTAGGGCTAATTGTAATTTATATTCTATATTCGCATGCGCATACGACGAAAAAAACGTACGAAATTACGGTGCATAACTTTTCGTACCATTTCATACGCACTCCTAATGAGAATAGGTTGGATTATTCCTTTAAGTCTACATTAACTTATAAGCAGGATTACTCACATAAAGGGGAGTTTTACTATATATTAAGGAATTTTATACATTCTAAGCAGGGGTGCCAAACAAACAGCATGCTATCAGAGCAATCTTAAACACCTACCGTTAAAGTAGCCTTTGGTTATTATCATTATTATTAGGTCATTGTATTTGTAACTGAAAAATGTAATTTGACAAAGATTTTATTTATTATTGTTGAATAGAAATATTCAACATCTTTAAAATCATGTCCTTAAAAATGTTTTTTCTTTTGCTTCAGATTATCAAGTACAAAACGTGAAAGAGTATTATGAGCAAAATGATGTAAGTCTGAAAAAAAAAGGATCTGAATGCAATGTAGTGTCTCCTCAAGCTGTGTTTAATGCTTTTGTTCTTTCAGCCTGGCTTTGTTTACCACACATACTCCACCATCCCTGATTAGTCCATTCTTTTTCTGTCAAGCTGAAGGCCATGAAGATATGCTGAAATAAGATTTTCTTATTTCTTGAAGAGGAGAAAAAACAATTCAGATAAATGTTCTCTCTAAAGCTGTCTTTTTAAGAATTTAATTTTCAAGCAGTAATTTCATCCTATAAGCTGCCCTTTACATTTTGTGGTCTTTAAAAAATAAAATTAATGCATTTAATTTGAATTAACTAAATTTATGTTTTTATTTTCTGTATTTTGTGTTTTGTTTTTCCTAGTTATTTGCTTCAACCAAATGTTAATCTTAGTAGATAAAATCTATGCAATGTTTCTGTTTTCTTTTCTTTATCAAAATGCATGCCTGTATCATTAAGAGTGTTATTCGAGAATATTCAGAACAACTGTGAATCCTCCTGTTGACACATTCTCAAGCTGAGTTGTTGATTTCTGCAGCTCCTTCAGAGAAATGATGACCATCTTTGATGTATTTCTGGTTATGGTTGGCCTGGTTGTTTTTTACATAGATGCTCTATGCAATTTATATACTGGATTAGAGGTTGCAGAGGCTCTTGGTTATATATGCTGTTATAACTTCACACTGCTTTAAACTCCTACACTGATGTTCTACTGTATATCAAACCTCTGACTATGTCACAACATTTGTATATTTTAAAAGTCATTCAATATTATCTGGTGGACTCCATCTACAGTATCCATCTAGACATTTTGTACCATCCAGCCAGCCAACAAGCCATATAAACTAATTTAAGCCACTTTGATTTCAGCTGTTTTGATTTCTGCCTATTAAGGTTTAATTAAAATCCCATAATTGTGTAGTTTGTAATGGATTTTTTTAAAATTATAAGTTGTTGACATTCTCTTTTGTTTTCTATTTGCACACTTTACAAAGGAAAGGAGAAAGCAGAATTTTATGAGCCGCTGGTACAAATTACAAATAAGTTACAACAGTAACCAAGCAACAGCTTCTCATGTTTGAGAAGTTTCTTGTTTCTGCTGTAGTCAGCAGCATCTAAACCAATGTTACTTACATAGAATAGCCACAGGTCTCTGCAGGCTGTTAAATGATGTTGATGTGATATATTGGTAGATGGGGTTTTCCTGATTACAAATATAAATATGTGAAACAAATGTGGCCTTTAGAGTCAGGTCACTTTCTGAAAGTGATTGAAAAACTTTTCTTAATTATGACAAAAAGCATGTTGTTTATCACCTTCATCTGTAGGTTAGGGGTATTTTTGGTAATCTTTTTCTTTCAATAAAAACCTTAAAAATTAAGTTTTTTTTAAACAATAGTTCCATAAAATATTGGTCTAAGCCTCCAAATCATTTACTGCTGAGTGTTAGCCAATTTCACAACCACTCATGTAAAAGATGCAGAATAGGTACTTCCCATGAGCTCAGTGAAATTCAGCTTGATAGAATGGTTGTATTTCATCCTGGGGAGACTCACACAGAGTAGAGTTGTAATTCTACCCCTTTAACACTGGCCAAACAGCCCGCTTAAACCTGGGAACAGTTAGCTTTTAGAGGCAGTGGGAACGGGTCACTGACTTGTGTCGACCCGGGTCAAACGACTCACCAAGGGACCCGGATTAAAATCGCCTTCAAACAAGTCGGCTCTGATCAGCTTGTCATGGGAACACCAGAGCCCGCTAAATTACCTGATACCACTGAGCGCAAAGTACCAGTGTCAACACAACTTGCCAGTCGCATCTGATCTAACGAGCCAAATGTGGCAATAAGAATGATCGTCTTGATGCCAAAAAGAGCCCAACAGATTTTGCTTTCACAAGCGGAACACTACGGCTATCGCCATAGTGTTCCGCTTTATTTATGCATATAAAAAGCTTTATTATAATTCATGCAGGGAGTATTACAGATTATATGGACACTGCAATGAGAAAATAAAACAGGAAAGGAAAAACAGGAAAAAGGAGAAAAGATGAAAGAAAAAGGAGATAAAAGGGACATAATGATAAAATGTCTTTTGTCTGTGTCATCACCTGCAAAGAGAGATGTAAAAAGAACAGCACAACCAATGGATTTAGTATAAAAGATATAATAAAGTAACACCTTGATACTATCGCTGAAGTATAAATAGTATTATTTAATCTGACATGTATACTGTGGTAGCTTAAGATAAGAATATGAGCTTTCTGTATGGAAGTAAATCTCTAAGTACCTGGAGCCAAGCACCTGTAGTTGTTTGTGAGCGTGCACTTGTGCATATAAAGTTTATCCAAAGGAAAAATGCTCAATAGAGGTTGTGAAGAGCCAAAGACCCACCCCCCAGAGCACTGAAGCAGGCGCCGAGGGACCCAAAACCCCAAACGCCCAAAGGGATCCTCAGAGCAAAGGCGCCCAGGAGGGGACAACCCAGGAAATCTGCCCCCACACCAAGGGAAGAGAAAAAACGGCCCAGAGGAAACCGCCCTGCCGCTGCAATGCCGAAGCCCCCAGGAGCTGCAGGGATGAGCCCGTGTGCTCCACTGGCAGCCAGTCACCCCGAGGTGTAATCAGCCATGGGCCCCGGGGACCTGAGGCCCCAGTGGTGTCCCACCATCCGACGGGAGCCCCGACCAGACGCAGAGGGTCCGAGGACCCGGCACCCCTTTGGAGCGCTGGTGCCCGGTCCCGGGATTACCGGATGACCCAGTAGATGAACTCTGAAATCCAGACTAGATCCAACCCATCTAGTTCCTGCTTCGGACCCTTTTTTTGAAGTAGAAGGACTTAGAGTTCTATATAAACTGAAAAAAAACAAAACAAAAAAAAAACAAAACACTATGGTTGAAGAAAAACAAAAAACATTGTAAAATGAAGCAAATATCTCCCTAAAATACACTCCCCCTAACACTGTCTTTTATTTTTTAAATAATATTGTTAAAGCAATATTTCCCCTTCTAAGCTTACCTGTACTTTAATCTGAGCTAATAGTTTATACATATTAATATCAAATCAATTCATCTTATGTTTTCTTCCTTTTTGTAATTCTTATTTCAATTTTATCTGCTTTGAAATATTTAACTTTTTATACAGATTTTATAAATGTTCCATACTTGTATTTCTCTTTCCTCATTATGCTAATTCTACTTTCTACAAAGAAACAAAATAAAACAACACAATTTGTAAAGAAGGAAAATATTTCTTATCTTTAATTATTTTCTTTAGCACATGGTTAAGATTATATGATTTTGATAAACCTTTGCTGAATATATCAATGTAGCATTCTTCAAACACACAGCATCTTTATCATGCATATTAGTTTTACACATTTTAATTGAAGAGATAGTGACAGAACTTATAAAATAACTTATATAATGATAAATTATGTTTTTGACACAAGAGATACTTTGTTAGAAAACAAGCTAAAATATTCAGAGAAATAAAACTATTGCACGGGAAATGATTTCTTCATTGACTTATAGGGAACAATGGGGGCCTTTCCTTTAGTACATAACAAAAGTGCATACTCTTCTTTTTCCTCACAACAATGAAATACATATCTGATGTCTTACTTTCTTATGTTTTGAGCAGTGGATTTGTTCAAATATTGACAAAAGAGTCCTGTGTTTATTTGGCATTTTTCCTTTCATTAATTTAGCACACAAAAACACAAACTCTCATGTAGGGATTTGCAGTGAGCTGAGCAAAGTGACCAAGAACACACTGCTTTAGTTTGTGTTACTTTGTTTTCTGCAGTGATGGATATGAGCCTCAGAACTACTGATAAAGTCTTAACAGACTCTAAGTAATGTCTGCCACAGAGGTAAGCAAAGTTATTTCTGATCAGTCATGTCTAAGTGGTATTCAAAGCATCTTCTTGCTGAGTTAGCTCCAGATGTGCAGCTTATGGTCACCTGCTGATAGTTGCTGCAATCAAAGGCATCAGAGGTAGTGCCAAGGAACTGGAGAAGCGACAGGCTGAACCACACTCCATGGCATTTTCCTGCAGAAGACACACTTCACTGTTATACCTTTGCAGTAACTTAAAGGTAGTTTGAATTAGCTGATGCATTGTTTTGGCTAATCATCACATAACCTTTGTGTAGAATAACAAGTTTCCTACCTCAGGGTGAAAAGGATGACATGACTCCGGCTTTTTTCTATCTTTCTGGAGCTTGAGTCTGTCACATTTTAGAGACTCGTTGTGTTCAAAGAAGTCAAGGATAATAATGCATGAACAGAGCATAGCAGCTCACATTTAAACCTTCAAAGGATTTATCATTTCATCAACTTAAACAGAAATGCTACAATAAGCATTTAAGACAACACAATTTGCAATTAAACAAAACCATTGTGTCTGATCTGTAAAGGATATACATAATCTCAATGGGATCCATTGTTACAGGAGGAATGATGCTGCAGTCACACTTGTTTTCAACCACAACCATGAACAAGTTGCTGCTGGGAATCTGTTGTATGACAAAAGACCTGCAGTCCACACACAGATTAGAATTAAAATAATTATGGAGAAAAGTGGAACTTGCTTAACGATTGGATGAGCTTTTTCACATGAGTCTAAACTAGTACCTAACGCAACCTCCGCAGTCAATGTTGCCTGTGGTTTCCTTAATGGTGCGTTCAGAGACAAAGGCTGGGTATACTGTATCACATGGCACCATCATAGTCTTACCACGAATTCTCTGTGCTGCACAAAGAAAAATAAAAAAAACAGGTGCAGCTTTACCACACAGGCATCTTTCAAGATTAAAATAATTAACAATTTTATAATTTTTACAATTAAAATAATTAAGAATAAACACCTTTCACTGAGAAGTCCACATTCCACCAGCTATACAGATTGAATTCTAGCAGGAAACTATGAAAACATATAACAACATTTAAACATCTGTGCTTTGTGACAATTAAACTGAAGAATTAAACTGCATGATGTTATAAAGTCATTACATGACAAGTTCTGTCAGGAGCCACTTCACAAGTGAAAAAGGCTGAAAGAAAAAACAGAGAGGAAGAAAACATTTTGTCTATATTTTTCTCACAGCTTTAACCAATAACTTTTACCTCAGTTTAACAGATAATAATAACCAATAACACATACACAGTTAGCATAGTCATTTCTGAGAACTGTGTTCAGAAATGCAACAGCCCACAGAGTATTGGTTTTCCTTATTTAGTAGTATAAGATATTTCTTCCCAAAGACTTACATCTGATAAAGTGCGTGCGCTGTCGCTGCTCCCAGCATACTCCCTACAAAGGGCCTGGTAATCATACAGAGTGATTCTGCAACACCACAGCAACAACATAGTTGTTTTTTTTTTTTACACATAATTGTTATGATCTGTTTTAAATTTTGAGAGAAAACTTAGTTTGTTTGACCTTTTGAAAGACCCCATTTGGAGAAGTTTGTTCATGACAGCACCCTCCACCTCTCCAAAGAAAAGCCCTGTCTGGGAGAGAATTGTTGTTATGTTATTGTTATCACTGCAAAGTCTTATAGAAAGAACATGTAAAGAGCATCATATTGATGACAACTTTTAAAGGAACATTTAATCATTAACCGAATTTCTTCTTTAAAAATATTTCGTCTCAGCATGTAACAATGATCTTTTTGCATGGTGATACTTTTGCAGGGACACCCCCCCCACCCCACCCCCATTTTGTCAATGACATTTTTTTAAAAAAAAGGTTAAAATAAAGTAATTACCTGAGATAGTTCCTCTGTAACAAGAATAAAGCCATTGTTGTCAATGAGGTAGCAGTTTATGTCCTGGATGATTGAAAAAGAAGACCGTTAAAAACCAAACAAATAAACTTAAATATACAGAGAGTAATATAAAAGAGTTCTTACTTCACTATCACAACTAATGATGCATTTTCCATCCAGAGCTGTGCACTTTGAAAAAAAAAAAAGATAAACAAATAAGAGTTAAGTTTAACTCATTTTTAGAAATTAAATTCTTTAAACATATTACATGAAATGGATTGAAAAACGTTGTGCATTCCAAATACCTGTCTACAAGCAGTCCAGAACTTCCTCTGAAAGTACTCTAGTTTCATTTGGATCCCCACAGCTGAAAACAGGAACAAGTAAGAGCAAAGTCTGACAAAATAAACACACCTGTACATGGAAATTATGTAAAATGCAATTACCAGCAACAATTGGAGACTTCCTGTCATCGAGGAGCTGAATAGCAGTGCTGGCCAACACCACACTCTTATTTTCCAAAGCTACAAAACAGAAGGAAAATTTGGTTGAAGCTTTCATCTTATGATCACTAGGTGGCACCCTTTACCCTTCTGGAGAGAAATGGGATGCAGTTGAGGCTTTCCTATTCGCAACAGTGATCAGTTGCTAAAATGACTGTTGTGACTGAACATTCCATGTAATACCAGCAGTAATTTTACTAAAATGGACGATAAAAAGTTGCAGAGAGAGCCAGTCTTCCATATCCTATGAACTATGGAATGAACCCATTCCATCATTATAATGACTCATACATTATGAAGTAAAAGAGATTTTCTGCATATCCTATTAGTAAAAATTATTAGAATAATAAGAATTTTCCAATTAAAGTTTAATTCATATCTTTCAATGACAAATTTGAATAGAAACCATGTAATTATACTAATGCTTGCATCAAAAAAAGTGCATCTCAGTGCATTACAATTTTACCAAAAGTTGGCTCTTTTAGTGCTTCAAAAAGAAAAACTCATATTGAATTTAAAGTCAGACTAGGCTCTTTCAAAATGCAATTTGAATGTTTGTCAAATCTATTTGTGTGTTTGGCATGTCGATTTCATCCAGCTTTTCAGAAACATGACTTTTTGATTAACAGGTCTCCAAATTGTTCCTAGGAGAGAATTTCTCATGGCAGTGCTATTTGTCCTGTGATGGACTGGCAACATTACTCAACATCATGATAACAGCTTACAGCTAATGAAACAGAAAATAAAATCCATCCACCCACTGCAGATTATCCTTCAGGGTCACGGTGGGTTGGTGCCCATCTCCAGTGGACTATGCGCAAAAGGTAGGGTACACTCTGGAGAGGTAGCCAGTCCATCACAGGGCAACAAGGAGACAAACAACCATACACACACCCCTAATGTAACTAAGAGTCACCAATCATGTTTTTGTACTGTGCAAAGCCATAGTGACGCACACACAAGAGGAAAACATTTAAACTCCATACAGAGAGAGACCCTAGGCTGGAATTAACCTTCTTTGTTCAAGGTAACGGTGCTACAAGTTGCATCACTGTGCAGCTGTTCACATTTTGTGACTTTTCAACAATCTCTTAACTTGCTCTGGCTTCACAATCTTCTAAAAGCTGCAGTTTTAACAGTTTCTTACACATTTTTCACTTTCTAAACAGCCAGCTTCTTTAACAGTGCCCTTGAACACAGTGAAGACTGCAGTCTTCCCAATGATCTTGGAGATCAGAAAATGAGTACTATCATCTAAAATCACTGGAGAACAGTCTATTTTACTGATGTTAACTTAACAAGTTTGAGATTGAATTACTAAAAAGAGAACAGGGATGCACCTGTGCTGAAGGGGATGGAATAGACAAATGTTCCTGGGACCTGCTCTGCCGCTCTCTTGTACCACAGGGGGAAGTGATCAGCATTAAACACACCCTCCTTGTCCTCGGCTGTCAGGAAATCTCTGCACAGCCAAAGAAACACAGAGGTGAGAAGTGAATGATTAGATCACATCTCGATTTATGCTGTAGGTAACGATTTCAGAGATTTTGAACTTCGGCACTCACTATGGATGAGGTTAAATACAACAAGATTGTTATTCACGCTGGCAGTAATGACACCTGGTTACGCCAATTGGAGGTCACTAAAATTTGTGTTGCTTCTGTGTGTAAGTTTGCCAAAATAAGGTCGTAATTTTCTCTGATCCCCTTTGATCTGACCAGTGATGACATGTTTAGCCGCATGTCGTCATTCAACTACTGGTTGTCTGGGTGTTCTCCTGAAAACAATGTGGGCTACATTAATAATTGGCAATCATTTTGGGAAAGCTTGGTCTGATTCAGGGAGACGGCATCCGTCCCCCTTTGGATGGTGCAGCTCTTCTTTCTAGGAATCTGGCCAAATGTATTAGTCCTCCAAAACCCTAACAACCTTAGTTGCAGACCAGGAAGAAGAGTTGTAGTTTAACACACCTCTCTGCAGCTTCTCTACTGGTAACCACTCATGACTCCATCCAGACAGAGTCTTGCCCATGTTGGAAATCTCTGACTGTGACTGGATGGAGGTGCTCTCTTCATTCTCTGAAATGGGAGCCAGCTTTGAGCTCGTCTGCCTGGCTGTGTTTTTCCTGGACAGGGCCGCCTTTGACAGTTGCCTTTTGTATCTCTGCTTCTGTCTCCGTGAACCCCAGTCAGCCTTGGCAGATGACCGTTCACATTGAGCATGGTTCTGCTTGAAGTTTCTTCCTTTAAAAAGGAGATTTTTTCCTCTCCACTATTTCTACAAGCATGCTTAGTGTAAGGGATTGCCTTCGAGTCAATGAGTCGAGGTGTCATGATTGTAGCCTTGGTAGCTGGTCTTATTACTTACTTCATTCTCCTGCCGTTTCCTCATTGCTCTCTAATTATCATTTATCTTAATCACCTGCTTCTTCTGCTATATATACGGTTCAGCCCAGCTATCGGGGCCAGATCATTATTCGTCTATTCTTTTTATTCATGTTATGTTTTTGAGTTTTAATTATGTTCCTGGTTGATGTCATGAGTCTTGGAGGCCAGTAGATTGAGAGGGGTTGGTGTCTCCTGGTCATGTCCCGGCTCTTCTCCGCTGAGCCCTCAGGGTTTTGGCTTGGCATGCAGGGGGAGAGTGGGTTCTGGCCCTCCTCCGTGGAGCCCTCAGGGTTTTGTCTCGGAACACAGGGAAAGGTCATTTTTAATTCCTGTAAGTGTGGCTCCATGGTGGAGACCAGTTTAAAGTTCGGCATTTATCCTGGTACCAAGTCTTGTCTATGTTCCTCTCTACCAATGAGCCTGCCTGACTTCATCTGCGTGTCTGTCTGAGCATGCTGCTGGACTCATATAACTCTGAACCTGTATTAATGCTCTGAGAATTTCTGGGATCCTTCTGTCTGTTCCTATTCGGAGCAGAATTTCTGGTCAGGCTAGATATGCCAATTTCTAGATCTCTGAACTGTCCAGTTCTGAACTGTTTCTAGGCCTGGATCAGTCTCCTGCCTGCTCACTGGGCTCCATCCGGACACTTTTGACGGCTCTGGGCCGCATCTCGTTTAGCAGTCCATCAGCTGGATGTTGACGCTGCGGTCCACTTATCCTCAGCAGCACGATTTGTTTTCTGTTCTGTTTTATTATTTTTCTGTTATTAAAACATTTGACACTTCCCATTGTCCAACTCACATGGAATACTGGGTCCATCTGTTCCTGTTTATGACACAATGCAATCAACTGGTTTTCCTTAGATAAAAAACTTTTAATGAATTTGACTGTATGACCTGGTGAACTGTAATGTGCCTTGAGATTACATGTGTTGTGAATTGGTGCTATATAAATAAACTGAATTGAATTGAAACTGAACTGGTTGGAAAGCTGATCTTTGGGTACAAACAGGTTGGTTCGTGACAGACCAGTCCGGGTACCCAGGAAAGCAATCTCCACACCTTTCTCTGGGTTTCTGTGGAAGGGATGCAAAACAGAGAGCATTAGTCAACATCTCTTTGTTTTAGCATATACGTTTTAGGTAAAATTACCCTTTTAAATGTGACGGGTCAAATCATTTCCATAAAAGAGGCATTGTTGCAAAAATGTTGCAATTCAGATGAGTTACATTGTTTTTAAGGTATTTTATTAAATATAACCAAACTTAAACAATTTTAAATAGAGATTTTACACACTGATTAGTATTCTGCAAGCATTTCAGTTAAACAATCTCTTCCTCATCCTGGAAGAGGAAAACATCAGTTGAGTTCTGAGCTTGTGATTTGTCTTAAAGAAGCCTTCTAATTCAACTGCTAAGACTCACTAATCTCTCTGAACCCTACTGAACGACCTGTGCTATGTTATACTACCTGCTTATTTTTTTCTTCCTTTTGGATGAATAGTTAGACTGGTTGGACTGGCTGAAACCTTATCTGTGGATACATGGTAGCAGCCATTTTGTGAGTTTACAACCTTCTTTTCAAGCTGGCTCCACCTTTGAACCAGTTTTCCTAGTTTCATCTGAGCTAATCCATTTTGCACCAGTGCTGCTACATGTTAATGCATTGCAGATAAATTTTCATTTTTCACTGTAAAACCCAATGAAGCTTCGCTGCTTTGATTGATACAATAATACTGCAATAGGGATTATTAACTAATAAAGTTACCAATATTTTAACCTGTGGTCTTTTGTGGTTATTCATTCAGTGAGTGATTTTTCACTCAGAGCCAGAACAAACCCCTTTTGGTTCATATTTGAAGTAAGAGACAATTTATTTGGTTATTAACTCTGCTGATAGTCATAGTCTAAATTACTAAATTGGCGAAAGGCAACTGGATTTTATTAGCAGGTTTGGGAGTAAATGCTTGAGTAACACACAAAGAACCTTGGTAATTAAGCAGATATATGTTATAATCATTTAACTAATATCATTAATTGGTTTAACTCCCAGTTTTAGTTATTTAATATATTCATAATCTTCATGTAAATTGGAACAACACATGCAATGTGCATCTACAGGTCAAGGGGTTACAGTTACATTTGGTATCATTATTATTATTTCTTTTTCCAAAAACATTCCTTTAACATTGCAATTTGTCGAGGGCAAACAAAAAAAGGAACGAGACCAAGACTCGGACTGAACGCTCTGAGAATTCCTGGAACCCTGGATCTGTCTGTTCCTGTTCGGAGCGGAACCCCGATCAGAACCCTGGCAACTGCAACTGCAGTTTTGGTTTCACAGTTGAAATCAGCTGCTTCTGTCACATTGTGTAAAACTTGGTTAATCACTTCTCATAGTTTCTCGGTGCTTTGTGGGTTAGCTCAGCAAGGAAGTGTTGCCTCTAGCTTTGGGCAGCCGTTAGATTGGAGTAACAGATGTCATTGTGTGAAAACTTGGCATCCTCTGACTGTAGACAGGGAAGTAGTATAGAAGTCTTTGCTATTGTTCTTACTCTGATTTGTTGAGAGCCAGACTGTTCCAATAGCTCTTCAGTGGAGCTGTGACTACAGCGTCGAAAAGCACCTCCTGTATCAACTCTCGGTCACCTGAAGGATGTAACACAAGTTATCTCACAAACCACAACAATCAGTTTAGGTGTAACTCTAATATATCTTACATTTGAGGTGGGGTCTCCGGCCAGTCATGAAGAGCTTTATGGCTTGAATCTGGGTCAAGTGCCGGTGCTCATGCTTCTCCTCTGTGTTGCAGTAGGTCCTATATACAGTCCCAACAAATCAGTGCCTTGTCCTCATTAGGCCAAATGAACACAATGATGTAACCCACATAACACCTGAACAGCCACCTTTACAGCCCTTGCCTCACCATTCATCTGCCAGGGCAACATCTGGTTGTTCTAGATCACGGAGCCCTGAAAAACACATGTCAATTACGCTCCAGCAGTGCAGTTCTGTGTTGAGTAGAATATATTATGTTTAGATAGAAATCTGAATGCTGTGTCATGTTATTACATTGTTGAGCTGTCTTTGTAGGATTCACATCATACAATAAAAAAAACTTAGATCAAAGTACCTGCATCCATCGATACGTTTCCCCTGAAGAAATACTTCCCGTGACCTTTCGAGAGTGCTACTCCAACACTGAAGCCACAAAAACAGAGGACAATCCACCTTTAATGGACTTATATACTTTGCAGTTGAAACTGGATATTCAAAATCACTCTCTTATGTTATGTTTTCTATCTCTGAAATTAAATCAGAATAAACAACTTTTGATTCTGGTCCACAAGGTTAGCAGTTATGATAGTTACCACTATTTGCTAAATGGCACAATAGTTATAAGACTGATATTCACAGAACTTATAATCTCTTTTTAATCAAAATCAGATGTTTACACATCTTAAGAATGTTATACCTGTAAACAATCTGCAACAGCCCATATGGTATTTTTAATTACTTTAATTAATTAAAATATTACGTTATTTTTAACATTTACAGTAAGTTTAAAGGAAGCCCACCTGTGGATTTTTGCAATGCAAATCCTTAAACTCTTTGCTTCCTTGTTCAAAATTTTGGAAAAGTCAAAAAATTAGGCAGGGTGTTGGAATGAGAACTGTGTAACAGGGAAAACTCTCAGGTTCTCTCTTGAGTAAAATGTACAAGTGTCTTAAGGATCTGTAGTAATATGTTCAAAAAACTACAAGGGAATATGATTCAAGATGATAATAGAGTCTTATCAAATAGGTCTTGAACCAAAATATAGTAAAAGGTCAGTCAGAGAGAAATGATAGAAACCAGATTAATATTTACAGATCCATCCAAAAGTAAAGTGAAAAAAGACATTTACTCTGGTCTGAAAAACTAGATCCAACACTCTTGACAGAAAGGAGAGAAATTCAAAGGCTTTATAAAAATATCTTGACTGTAAATTTCTGTGGTTAAGTCAAGCAACAGTTACAGGCACCATTCACTGAATTAACGGCATAATGAGATGAGAACATAAAGAAACAATTCAGGACATCAGCCATGGGTTTAATGAAAGCACACTTAAGGAGGATCGAGGAAAATAAAGCAATACCCTGGAGTGGAAAAGGTTTTGGTAGAACTGAAGCTGTGCCTTTAACTAATAGAACAACGTTCCACCCAATAAAACTGGGGAAGAACACCAAAAATACCTGCTCCATTTCATATGGTTTGTAGAAATCAGTTTTCTAAAAAGCTCCCTCTCTCATTATTGTGAAATTTAGGAAATACAAATAAATAAAAAAATCTTAATGGACCTAATTGGAAATGTTTAGTCTGAGTTTTGTTCAGAAAGGTCATTGTTATCGCCTTCCATTTCATTCCGACATGTCCTGAGGGAATCCCAAGGTGCTCCCAGGCCAGTCCCATTAAAAAAGAGCCTCTGACTGTGTTCTTGAAGTGGCCCCCACAGGGGACCATGAGGGACACAGGCGAATGCCTTCTCTTTCTGTCCAAAAACACATAAGGACCTCCAGGACAAACTCCCAAGCAACCTTAAGAACCCTGCAGAGTGCAGAGCCGGACTCTCCTCTCCAGGAACTCTGGCATAGGCCTTCCCAGGAGGCTAAGAAGTACGATCCCTCTACAGTTGGAACAAACCCTCTGCTCCCCCTTCTTATGCAGGAGAACCACCATTCCTGTCTGTCAGTCCAGGGGCACTGTCCCCGACCTCCATGCGACGTTAAAGAGACATGTCAGCCACATTAGCCTGACATTGTAGGGAGCTCTACAGTTTAGCGGATCTCGTCTACCCCCGAAACCTTGCCACTGTAGAGTTTTTTTGTTTGCTCCCTATCTCATTTTTCTGTCATTTAGGAAAAATAAATAACTGTTAAAGGAAAAGTCTGGTCAGCAAAGAATGATCAAGGGATCATTATCTATACCTAAAACTAATATGTTTGTCTTCACCTACATGGATGGAAAAATGTTACAACATCCTTGTTTTCTTTTTTAGTTCATTATATTCTTCTATTTAGTTGTTTAAACTGGTGAAAAAGACAAATTAAAGTAAACAATTGAGGTCCGATAATTTTTTTCATTGAGTTACTCAGAATCAGAATTACTTAATTAATCCCTTGCAGGGACTATGTACTAAAACAGACTGAACTACAAATAAAGTAGAGATGCACCAGAGTTAGTCAGAGATCAATTTGCAGGTCAAATTGGGAAAAATTACAATTTTAATTCAATAACTGGAACAAAACTAAAATAATTCAGAACTTAAAGTATGAACACAACTTCCACTGGCATTTCCACTGACATTTAAATTGAGCTTTCTTTAGTTTAACAAATGTCTTAAACATTTCATACTTCAGTTAAATTAATCTTACAAATCCTCAATTTTCTTTCAAGTTAAAACAAATTTTTGCTGTTTCTCTCATACACCACATTCCCCCCTATTCTTTAATCATAGTTTAAGAAATCAGACATTGAAACAATATCATAGAAATTACAGGAAAAAAAAGGATTTCAGCCAAAGAACCTGTTGAATTTCTAGAAGTAAAACCTCTAAATCACCTGAATGGAGTTCCTTTGATGTCAGTGTAGTAATAATCATTATGCATCTTGAGGACCCGCCTCTGAAAATAAAGATTTGGTCATTATTTTCCTAAGAGAATAAAGCAGATGAGCATAGCTGATACACTGCAAACAAATATTCATAACTGTAACCTTACCCCTCGGTCAACTGTCCTTTTCACCTCCATAGAGAAAGTCCCTGTCCTCCTGTTCACCATAGCATTGCGTAGCTGGGAGATAAGAAGTTTCAAGCCTGGTCAGTGTGCTTGGAAATAAGACTGTTCTCAGGATCATTTAGGGAAATTGAAACTCTTGATAAGATTGAAAAAACTATATTAAAAAGTAATGTTGCAGATCCAAACACATTGAGTCTAAAACGCTTTTTGCTAGAAAAAAGTCAACTTATCATTTTTTTAAATAAGGTTTTGCACTTACAATGTCATCCTTGTCTTCCCACTCCACCTCAGAGAGATCTACACTGCTGTAATAGGGCTTTCTCCTCCTTTGTCCTTCCTGATACTGCACAAAATAAAACAAGACACACATTTTAATGATTCCCTTCTGCACAATCATGCTTAATTTTACTAAAAGCTCACTTGCAGTAGCTAAGCTAGTCTGAAATTACCATCTCCCTACTCTATATACATAATACTGATGCAAAATGCTTAAATTCAGAGTTTTTTTTAAATTAACTCTATAATTTTGTCATATAATGAATCCTCATCTTACTGTCTTATTTATCAGGCACTGTTAAAGCACTGTTAAGGCAGAGTAATTATTTAACAAACCATCTGTGAAATTAAGACTGTCAGGTGAATTAAAATTAATTAATATGATTGATAGTAAATCCTCACTCAAACAAGTACACGTCAAGCTCTGGCACTGCCCCGATCAACATAAAACGTCAACGACTACAACAACAGCCACAAATAGACACAAAGAACCAGCACAGACTGACACACACAGTCGCACAGAGAGCTGTAGCACTAACACTGGCGTACACAGATCCACCAGCACAGCCAAAGCTCCTTGAGGAACCAGCGGTCCCAGAGCGAGGGGCTGTGGTTTCTGCCAGCAAGTGTTAAGTTACCTCTGGGAAATCTCAGGCCAGCCAGCCTTATGAATGGCCTTTATCCCTGCATGCATACATCAAAGGAAAAGGTGGGATTACAGACTATACGAACTCATGTAGCCTCTTAGCCAGATATAACATTATTTTCTATGTGCCCATGGATATCTTTGATGATGTCCACAAAAAAGGGGAAAAAAAGGGTAAAGGAATGCTGCAAGAGTGAGCCAGTCTAATGCAGAAAAACTTAGTTACCAAAGGCCTGAGGTCCGGATGTGTCAGGATGTAGCCATTATTGGTAATTGCAAATGCATATCCATGGATCCCTAGCTGCAGAAAGAAAGGGAGACAAGTCAGCTGAGGTTAAAGAAGACATAAAAACAGTGATCTAGCAGAGAATAGCTGATTGTACCATATGTTTTGGGATGAGCTTCATCAGCTCCTGTAGAGGGATGTCTGTGCCAGCAACCCCCAACAGAATACCCTGGTTTTTCTGCATGAGAAGTCGCAACATATCATTAGGAGGCAATCTCTTTTTTTCTTTTTTTATGTATCCTGTCTGGCAGTACAGCACTCAGAACAGCCAACTGGGGTCAAGGTAAGGTCAAAAAGATTTACTTTATCAAGTGGTGCTTTCTGGATTTTGCCATTATGTTCCAATTGATATATACAATGGGACTTTATTATAAATTACTTTGGGTCTATGTCAAATGGAATGGACACATGGTGAAAAAGAAAGGAGAGATGAAAGAAAGAAACATTGGGCAAAGTTTTAAAGGAAAAGGAGAAGGAAGTTGAGAATAAAGAAGAGAAAGAAACAGAGATAACACAATTAAACACCGTTTAAATCTGCCTCTAGACTTACAGAAAGAGGAAAAACAAAACCGGGAAACCACAAAAATAAACAACGTATGCATATATATACGTAATAACAATTATAGCATCAATGAAAGATACAGAATACGAGGTAATCCCAGATGTATTCATTGGCAAATGCAGATCAAGTGAGCTTTAATATGGCAAGCACTTGAATTTTAGCACCTGTATCTATAAGGTTCCTCTGTATAAAGCAATGAGCCAAAAAAAGTAAATTTACCTGATCTCCACTTTAATACTCTAAATAAGCATTATCTTATGCCATCTTACCGTTTCATTCTTTGTGCTGAAGACTGGCATCGCGACCGTAGTCGTCAGAGTTGGGCCTGATTTATCGTTGAGCTGAAAACCCCCCCACCATAATTAGTTATTAAACCAGACTTATAACAGTTTTTCTAAGAATAACATTTATTTTTTAAAAAATTGCTAATAGAAAACAAATTTTCAGATAATATTCAGATAATAATTCTAAAAGAATCCAATTCTTTTGATGGATTTTTAAAAAAATATCAAAACAATTGTGTCAGGGTCCTGCGGTGGTGTCTAAGCTGGTGCAGCCTTTTTTTCCTCAAGTGGCTGCTGATGAGCAGGGAGGTGCTGAGCGCAGTTGTTCAGAGTTTAGCAGTGGCGGACGACTGAAAAGCAAACAGCTGTCAGTACTTCATCAGCAGAGTGTTGCCATACATGTTAGGAACTCAACTGGCCAGCATCCTACGTCTGCTCCCCATGCCAATCTTGTCTCCTGTGCCCTAGGTTGGAAAACTCCAAATCCCTTTTCGGAGCTCCTTCCGCAACGCACAGGCCTCTGCCGAGCCGGTCAGCCTCTGGCCTGCTCTGCATCCTCTCAGATTTCCTGTCATTTCCTGTCAAGCCTCTGCAAGCCCCAGCATTCTACCAGCGAAGCGCTTGCCTGACAATAACCTGCTGCCGCCTTGCAGCTCGAATGGCCGAGCCCTGCCTTACCCTCCATGACCTGCCTCTTCCCGCTTGCCAGCAACCTCCCCAGCTGCAAACACATGCATCTCCCACCTACAGCCCTCCGCAGCACCCGCTTGCTCTCCCAGTGGATGATTCACGTCTCTTGCGGTAAGTCTTTTGTTCCTGTCATTCTCAACGTTCCCAGCTACTCTTGTTAAGTCTTGCTCTCCGTTTAACTGTGTCTGATGCCTCCTTCAATCCCAGACGTCTTGAAGAAACTCCACATGCCTTCATTTTTGGTTTTTCAATAAACTATCGTATGGTCTATGGTCTGCGTGCTACAAGATCAGGTGAAAGTCCTGTTTGATCAGGTTGGACACCTGACCCTCACATTTTTAGGGGCCTCTGCCGACCTCATTGCCACAGTGTGTCAGTGCACCTAGTCACAATGCAAAAGCGTCTTCTGAGCACAATCTCCACATATGTGACTGCAGCAGGCTAGTCTTTCAATGCTCCTTAGTTTTCTAATCGCTCCCCCCTTGTCTACCAGCAGAATGACATTAAGATTTATCTGTGTTTTTTAATGGGAGGGGCCCTGAAGTGGGCAAAGCACGTTTTCCTGACTGCCAGGACTTTAACCACACCTTTGATAGTTTTGTTCAGGAGTTTAAGACTGACTTTTCCGTAGACTCTGATCCAATGGAGCTTTCCCATCGCCTATGGGCCCTCAGGCAACACAGTCGTTCAATGAGAAATTTTCTTTTGAAATCCAAACCTTGGCAGCAGCAGCCAGTTGGGAGACCAGTGGCCTCATGGCTGCATTCTTCCAGGCCTTAGAAAAATGTTAAATAATCTGCCTGCAAGAGCCCACTTATGGATATGGATATTGAATATGGAGGCCAACTTTGCCTTCCATGAACTAAAAGAGAGGTTCTCACAAGCTCCGGACCTTATCTATCCAGACCCCTGACGACAGTTCATTTTGGAAATCATTGCCTCGGACACCGGCGTTGGGGCAGTCCCGATTTATTTTTTATATAGTAATAAATAATAGCAATAAGATCATAAAGATCAGACAGTTTTAAAATACTTCATGTATTATAAAAAATGTTGGTCAGAAATTTTTAAATAATATTTAGCATAACAAGATACTATTTAAGTGTGGGTACTACAATTACACTACAATAATTAATAAAATATTCTGTGAAATTACATTTAAAATAGTATTAAATAATCTATTAATATGTTATAATATTTAATTATACAACTTCACATAAGGGTCAAATATAATTCTTGATCCAATCATTAAAAAATTTGAAACTGTTCTGAAAGTGTAAGGCTTTTTAGCATTCTAAACAAAGGTGTTATACCTGCACAGGTAACACAGTCATTCCCAAAAAAAAAAAAAGATGTGCTACAACCAGAGATTATCTGTGTCTTTGCTAAGTTTTATCCAGAGAAGCAACATAGTAGTCACACTGCTTATCATGTTGACCTTCATAGAGGCTCCAACTATACACAGGGTGACCAGATCTCCACTGTGCCAAATCGTTCATTTCCGTCCCACTGTCCCGCAAACTGAAATAATGTCATGCATTTGACTCAGACTATGAAAAAAAAGATGTTTTCTTTCAAAAGTAAAGACACAGAGCTGCTGAAATTGTCACAGAGCCAGCCGTCAATCAATATACAATGCTGTGCCCAGCTACAAGATCAACCGCACCAAGCTCGCACCAAAATACAGGTAAAGGGTATCAAGATCTATTAAATACAATGAAAAACTACCTATAATGGAGGAAACATAACCACAACAAAGACAGTATAACAGTTTATAAGAACATTGAAAGATAATTCTTAGAGAGCTTTGGGGGTGTTCCACTTTGCTACCAAATTACTGCATATGTCTGATAGGAATAGACTAGGGGTCTGCATTGGTTGGAGCTACGCAAGCACAGTTGCAGATAATCGTATACAGGCTGCGTTTTCACTGAGATTTAGATACTAAGACCTCAAGCAATCAGATTGAACTCTAAATCTTGTCCATTACATTCAGACCTTTTTGTTTTGTATATTTTTGTTTTAAAATGGTATCAAAATACACAACACAGTAAGCATTCACATATAAAAACAACTTTATAAAAAAACATAGTATATAAGTCCTAGCAGTAAAGAACTTAATAAACCTGGTCAAAGTGTAACTACATTAAAGGGACATAGAATGATTATATAGGGTATTTGGAGCTGGTCCTTAAAGGAATAGTACACCCAAAACATGATTAGCCTTCATTTTCTACTCACCCCCATGCTGAACAACACCCTGGAGTACTTTTTTGATATCTCAAATGCATCTGGAGATCTGGGAGGCTTCTTGCTGTCTGCTGACATTCAAATAATGGAGGTCTATGGTGCCCGAGACAGAAAGGTCCATAAAAGTCCACAAAAAACGTGTCAATATTCCTCCATACTGGTCGTCCAATGTATTCCAAGTGTCCTGAGTGGGTAGCGTCCAGAATTTACTCGAAACAAAGTCATTTAGAATGTTTTTAGAGCATAAACAGTAGTGTATAGGATTTCCTGAAAGCGCGCACATGCGCGATCACGACGCTACGGAAGCCGGCAGACCAAACCAGATGAAAGTGCGCATTCAGCGTCTGCTCTTCCAATAATGCAAGCGTAGAAGAAGAAATGTGCCGTTTACCTGTGCAAAGAAAGAAACAACGAAAGAAAAATGTCTGAGGACTTCAGTGTTGAGGAAGAGCATGAGTTCTTTGCTGAGCTGAATGCGCTGGTTTGGTCTGCCGGCTTCCGTAGCGTCGTGATCGCGCATGTGCGCGCTTTCAGGAAATCCTATACACTACTGTTTATGCTCTAAAAACATTCTAAATGACTTCGTTTCGAGTAAATTCTGGATGCTACCCACTCAGGAAACTTGGAATACATTGGACGAGCAGTATGGAGGAATATTGAAACGTTTTTTGTGGACTTTTATGGACCTTTCTGCCTCGGGCGCTGGGTACCTCCGTTATTTGAATGTCAGCAGACAGCAAGAAGCCTCCCAGATCTCCAGATGCATTTGAGATATCAAAAAAGTACTCCAGAGTGTTGTTCAGCATGGGGGTGAGTAGAAAATGAAGGCTAATCATGTTTTGGGTGTACTATTCCTTTAAGTTCTCTGAATAGGTTGTGTAACATTGGTTGGGCTGAAAATAGCATATTTGCTGTTCTATGTGCCCTAATGCAAGCCTGGTTAAAAGCCCTAGAATAAAACGACAGGTTTTCTTCCATTTATGGTATGCTCATGAATATTTAGATGAGCTATGCGCTGATTGGTTTGTTTACAACAAGCAAAGCTACTGAGCAAAGACGCATCATAGCAACAAGCACTCATTCACTGAGATTGTTTATATGGTAGGGTGACTAGACGTCTTCTTTTTCCTAGACATATCCTACTCATACCCTTTCATACCTAGAAAAATGTTTCCAGGGGAATTTCAAAATCGTCCGGGATTTTGCTAAACTACAGTGCAGCACGCAGTCAAAACGCACTGGGCATTCGAACCGAGCCATTAGCTCAAGGGCTGGTCCGGGAACCCCGGTGGACGGGGGCAGGGAGGGACGAGCAACTGAACCCAAGCCCGGTGACGGTAGCCTGGACCTGAACATCCCCTCATTTCAATAAAAGAAGTTTAGCAAATCCTGCTTTGAACTGTTTGAAGATTTCCAGGTAAATTCCTTGGAGCAAATGAACAGCTGAGCATCAAACTTTACAGGAATCTTCTGATAGACAAAACTAATCCATGCCTGTTGAGTCTTCGGATCCTTGGGAAGACTGTGAAAAATGTCTCTTTTCACCGTGCAGCCTGGAATACTTCATTTACGCCCGTGGTTCTGGCTCATTTTCAATAGAGAAACAGCTTGCTTTGTAATTCTTGTAGAAGTAACCCCAACTAAAGGCTAAACAGCTAACCTGGTACATCTACGGATATTCATGTTCTTGGACCAGTGAACCAGTTGGCTGGTCTGTATGTAAATTTTAGGGTGTGACAAAAGTACAGGCCAGAACCAAATAAGGCACCATCCCCAAGTTTATGTCAACTCCAGGCTTCGTTTGGATTCAACCGTTTTAGGGTGGAAGTTTGGAATTGTAAGATTTGCAGAGAAAGGAGGTGTCGATGGGGTTTGACTGTACGTCCATTTCACCCACTGAACTATTAATTATTAATTATCTATGACAATGTAAACTCGGCTTTGCATTCTATGACACTTTAATACATTATCCTCAATGAAATCTTAAAACCACTAAGCTTGCATTTATAACTGAAGTATGTGTGGTAAGTTAGTGCATCTATTGTGTCTTTGTCTGTATCATTCATGTATGTTTGTGCCACAGACTGCATGTGCATAAAGCTGCAGCAAAAACACTTTGGGCTTCTACAAGTCAGCTTGACAAAATGAAGAATGGTGGACCCATAACCACAATACTGCAGACATTACTGGACAAATCAGTCTGCTTTTGTCTACACAAACTGAATTCACACAAACATGAACACAAGTCAACATATGGATGGGAAACAATCTGCACCCCACCCCCCTCATCATCTCCACCTCTTCCTCCTCTTGGTCTCCCTTCCAATGTCAGTTTTATTATGGGCTTTAGGAGATAAAGTGCAATGATCCACAGAATGATGAATGGTGTGTCTAGGGTTGAGATACAACAGTACACACTCCAGAGGACAATCTCCTAACCATTTGTATGCGAGTTTTCATGTGTGTTTGACTGGATACACCATCTCCTAAGTTGAATAAAGAACAATACATGCTTCTGCCCTAAAAGAGTATCTCCAGACCTTACATTACATGGGGAGTATTGAAGAATGAAGTTTACATGTAATATTTCAAGCGCTAAAATTATTTTGCTTTAAACGTTATACTGTAGCTCACTTTTTCTGAATTTCTGAAGAAAAAAAAAAACAGACAGAATTCCTTTTCACATCCCTCTGGACATAGCTTTTTGTCATTTTTAAGGAACAGATGATTTAAATTTTAATCAAGAGATTTACCTTATGAGCATGGGAAAGCTGAAAAGGAAGAAAAAACACACAGAGATTGAATTGTCAGTGAAAATGAAGCATGTTTGTGCCTTGAATATGTAGACACAGATGTAAAAAGGAAGGGGGGGATCCATGCAGATTAATGGAGCCAATAATTAGGAATTATTACAGAAGCGTAACCAATAATGATGAGAGAACAGATCCAGACATCGGCACTTTTCACTGTACACCACAGGCGCCTCCGAATACCATGTATCTCAAGATAACAACACCACAAATGCTATCTTAAGCTTATCAGGACAAATGTAAAACTCTAGAGGTAGTTCAAGCCTGCAGTAACACTAGATTACCAATGTATATAAAGGATATATCCTGGTAACACAGATGGCACTGGAGTTAATGCAGTTTGACATACTTACAGCACTGTCTGCGTACGCTTCGGTCCACACTGTATCGTGTTCATGATCAATAACCTTTGGACGGCTCATGACATGAAGATACCTCATCACGTTCTCCTGCACATCCGCTAGAGTGGAGATCTGACTAAAATACCCTGCAATGAAACACACACCCTTAAGCACAGTAAAGACTTTCATTTTGGTTAGAGTAACTCTTCTGATAAAGCTGCCCTATGTGTATTTGCACTCTCTGGCCTAATATAAGAATAACACATAGATATGTTTCTGAGATTAAGATGCATAGGGTCCAACAGAAGGATGTTATCTTATAGATTGTGGATTGATGGTTTGACATCTAACCTTTGGAATGAAAAAAATTAAGAGTGAGATTAGTGGGGAAACTACTATAAAGGGGGTCTGGAACAGGATTACCAGTAACAAAAGCAAGCTCAGGAATACAAGACAAACCAATATGAACCATCTGGATTGATCACAGGAAAATTCATGACATTTGCTACCTCACATATAAATCTTAACAAGTTTAGGACTGCACAACATCAACGACACACAGAGTTACTTTGTAAGCGCAACGAGAATGTAAAAGATTACTCTGAAGGCCAATGCAAAGTCAGTAAGGATTGTCATCAAGTGCCAGAGATACTACTAATATCACTACTTTTCTGCATAGGTCCTTACCCATTCATCCCCATCGCCATAAAGAATGGCTAAAGACAATGGTTTGAGATTAAGCTATTTGCCAACATTTGGGGAAACAAGAATATAATAAAATTCAACTTTATTGTCAATACACTGTCACAAGTACAAAGCAAAGAAATGAGCTCTCTGCATTTAACCCATCTCCTTGGAGAGCATTGTGCTGCCATTGTGCGGTGCCTGGGGAGCAGTGTGGGGTTAAGGGTCTTGCTCAGGGACCAAGAGTGGCAGTCCGTGGCAGTGGGGCTTGAACTCAAAACCTCTGGAAAACAAGTGGATTGCCCTAACTACTAGGCCACCACTCCCTCAGTCATGATGTCTCTCTTAATCAAAGTATACAGCAAGGGTACTGGTGTGGGTGTGATTAGACAAGGCCTTTATGGAATAGGAGTTTCTTTTGATATTTATCACCAAATATCCACTGGCAAATTGTGAAAGTGGCTGACAGCTACAAGTCCAACCATTGACCTGGCAGGGTTGACTTTTACAATCCTTACAGTAACAACAAGCCTTTCCTAGGATTATAGCGGATGCAAATAAATGGAGCAAGTGGAAGGGGTTTTTGTATGCACTCAAAGTTGTGTGGTATGAAATGCCCTGATCATCAGGCGAACAAATTTTTTTTTTACCATTCGTAAACAGTTTCTTATCATTTGCAAGTCCGTGTTTTACTACTATAAAATGTTCTTAAATTCAGGGCAACAAAACCTTTCAATTGCTCCCCTATTTAGTGGGCATCCAAAAAAGCACTACAAATAACTTTTTTAGGTTAAGATTAAGAGAATATTTTCATTGAATGTTTAAGCCACCCTGAATCAGACACCACCCTACGTCAGGGTCCATATCGAAACCCACCACTGTAGCAGCACTGAATAAAAAGACTCCATGTTTGTCAAAGGTATAGTCAAGGATTTTCGTGAATTTTTGAAAAGACCGGCCCTCTCGACTTTTGAAAAAAAATGCGAGAGGGAACGCCTGCCTGCAAGAGCATGTATGAGCCCCCTTTTCCTTGTGCACTTTCTGTTTAAAAGCTGCTGTTTACATGGTTCACAGAAGCTTACTTTGCAAAAGAAGATTTGAAATTTTTCCACTATGTCAGACTCACCACTGTTAAGTGAAAATGGGGACGAGCAAGTAGGAAGGCCTTACGTAAACATATCAGAATGATTTACAATTCGGAGGAATGCTTATTTTGATGATCCACCCGGAAAAAGAACACCCTTCACTATACCTTTAAAGGGGTCATTGAATTAAAAACCGAGTTGTCATAGAGGAAGAATGATAATTCAGTGGGTGAAATGGACTTACAGGGAAGTTTAAACCCCATTGACACCTCCTTTCTCTGCAAATCTCACAATTCTAAACTTCAACCATAAAATGGGCGAATCCAAATGAAGCCCCATGTTGATGTAAACTCGGGGATGTTGCCTTATTTGAGGCATTGAAGTGCAATTGAAGTGTCGACTGCCGGGTTGCTGAATGGACCGGACCTCAGAAGAGAGAAATGAGTCGTCCGTCCTCAGCCAGAAGAGGGGGGCTGGGAGCAATTAATGCAAGCAGGGGGAAGCACGGGGCTGCCGGTGTCCAGGCTACCGTCAGTGGGTCGGATTTGGTCGCTCCGTCCCCTGCTGGTTCCCTGCCCCCGTCAGCCAGGGTTCCCAGACCAGCTCTGGAGCTGACGGCTCAGTTGGAATGCCCGGTGTGTTTTAAATATGTGCTGCACTGTAATTGACCAAAATCCTGGAAATTTTTTTAGGTATGAAAAGTTGGACATGTCTGGGAAAAAGAGGACGTCTGGTCAGCCTACTATATAACCAATTTCAATGTTTCAGTGAGTGAGTGCTTGTTGCTATAAAGCGTCTTTGCTCAGCAGCTTTGCTCATTGTGAACCAGCCAATAAGCGCACAGCTCTAAATATTCATGAACATAACATAAAAGGAAGAAAACCTGTTGTTTTATTCTAGAATTTTTAACCAGGCTGGCATTAGGACACAAATATGCCATTTTCAGCCCAACCAATGTTACACACCCTATTCAGAGACCTTAAGGACCAGCACCAAATACCCTATATAATCATTCTATGACCCCTTTAAAGACATGGAGTTTGTCACACATATAGCCCCATTTACACTACCCTCTGAAAACCGATCCGTATCGAGCTTAGGTTTATTTACACACCACGCTAGCACGGTTCCTCCCCTTCTAGTGGCGATCTATGGTACTACTGCTCTCTAGGGGTAAACAAGGAAACCTACATGGCGGCACTGTAACATTCACGAAGTTATGTTTTGTTATCATTGTGATATTTTGTTGCTTGCTGGGAGTCAGGTGAAGAAGGCAGCCTTTGGTGAATTTACAGAGTCAGCTTTTGGGAAGTGATACGTCAAACAATAGTCTAATCAGGGCTTACAGATGCAGGAAACAATGATGGACTTTGAGGCTCATCACACTGGAAATTATGTGGCACGGTAGGGAAGCTTGTATTGTTATGATTGTCTGCAGTTTGTTGAAGTTTTAGTTGATTATGGAGGCTGACTGTAAGGAGATGACGCGGTCTGCTCATGCACTCTTTGTTATCTGAGAACCGAGCCTGAACTGAACCCAGCCGAACCCTACTGATAAACCACCAGTTTTCTGCGGTTCGGTAGTGTCTGGTGCGATTCTGTACAGTTTTGCATGCCAGTTACCATGTTCGGACCAATCTTGGCATGGTTTGAAAACGGTAGTGTAAATGAGGCATGTGTGTTACTTTTTCTACTATGTTACTGCCCCATTGTCACCCTTAATGTTAAACATTAAATTGGTCCATTCTGTTGCTGGATCCCAGTGTATTAGCTTAGAGTAGCAAGGAAATAATTTGACTTGTAGTCAGCTCCTACTGCTTCTGACACTGTCTCACACTGGACATGTGAGATTATTTCGCAGAGGACGTCTGTCAGGGAAAAGGGATTCGCTGCTTGTCATTCTACAATCCCTCTGTGATCTGTTTCCCCGGCTCTGACTTTCCCATTCAGAGAGCACTCATCCAAAGCGATGACACATGGCAGCCATCAGCAGTGAGCAGTCGAGAAGTAGACAGTGACAGGAAGAGGGATTAGAGCAGATTGAACTCTGACCCTGCCCCCCATTCAAGTGACACTTCACTGCCTCTTGGCAGACAACTGAACCAGACCATGCAGACACACACATAGATGTTATAAATGTAAAACAGAAAACCACACTGATTTCCACTTATCTTTCAGCTATCATATACATGCATACAAATTAAAAAGCATTTTGAAATTGTTAATTAAAAAGTCCCCAACCTTTGTTGGCACAAGCCATCCATTTCAGATTATCTGCAAATGCAGACTCCCTTCCAATCAGGTAGGGGAATATTCGCACCTGTGAAGAGAACACAGACATGACAACAAATCAATAATTAAACAATTGAAAATATTGTGTCATTTCATAAACTTTTTTCTTCAGCTTATCTTTTATTAAGTAACTTTGTGTGTATTGTTCTTATATTCTTTAGTCCTTGCTGCAGTTAAATAAACACATTTTCCTTTTGTAGAGGTCTTTGGATGAGGGCAGGAGCCGCTGTCCCTTTGGGGAACATGCTGTGACATGCTGCCAGGCCTGCACGGCTCATTGGCTCCAGATGCTTTACTAAGCATAAAGCATATAGAACACACTGAAGGGCTGCCATGTAAGAGCCTAGAGGGTTTATGGACCAGGTGGGGGTTGTGGTGCCATAGACTGCCTTGTGCTCTGCCAAACCCCGTCAAATCACATCAGTTAAAAAGGATTCAACAAAGGCTTACGCTTTTGCTATTGTTGTACTGTGAATACTGCAGTAGCTGAATTGATTTCAATTGCCTTCAATTTATACAAATGTCTTCATCTGACTGAAGAGCTCTGCAGCGGTGTGTAAGCTTCTAGATGGAGCCCTGTCCTGGAAAGTTGTTAATTTGCCATGCTTCATTCGAATAAAACACAAAATGAGAAAATTTTGTTTTAATGCATCAACATATTGAGAAGGGGGGAAAAACATTCTGACATACATTTTACATTACAGAGTAGTAATGAAGTAAGAAACCAATTCATCACTACATCAGACAGGAGCTGCGGCTGGCATGAAGTATTAAAATGTACATTTATTACTGATGCAAAAAAACTGCAGAACAAGCAGAAAGGTGAGGAAAAAAACACTATGGAGAGTTTTAAAAGAAGAGAAAAAAAGTTGCCAGGACTTACTTTTCTGTCTGGCCAGTTGTACTTCTCAAAAACATCATCGTACATCTTTGTTGCTCCATCCGTCACAAGCATGATGGCCTGACTGCACACGCTGCCTCGTCCTGTCTGATTAAACTAAAGGAGGGAGAAACAAATAATAGCCACATTAGTTTCCTTTTCCTCTCCATTGTGATCAAAGTTTGCCCTGATGCCGGCAATGTACAGCAATACAACAGGTGACACTTTGTTTTAAGTTATCATGAATAATGGGGCATACTTCCTTCTGACCCCAGAAGATGCAGTGCAGTAATTAACTGGTTTATTGACCTGTAGAAATCTGAATACAGAGACAAAGGGGCGCACAGTGACATAATCACAGGATAAGTCCTGCTGAGCTCATCTGCTCTTGAATCACACAGAATGAAAGACTACTCAAGTCAGTGACGCACACATAAACACAACTTACAAAAGCTGATGAAGGTTCTCAGTCATCCAGGTCATAGTCATTCCGTAAAAATTCAAAAAATATCCACTGGACTTGGTTTTCAAGATTTGAAGACGTTTCGCCACCTCTCCAGGAAGCTTTCTCAATTCAAATGTCTGGATCCGCAGTGAGTTTGAGTCTTATATAGACAACGCCTTGTATCGCTTGGAAACATGCAATGGTAACCGATGAATGGGTCGTTAGTTCCATCGTTAGCCTGTAATATCTGAACTGTCTATGATTCTAGGGGTCGGTCGTTAAAGGGGGGATTGCCATTAAGGGGGGGATTGTCTCCTGTAATACCTGAAACCTGTCTATGATTGTTAAGGGTTGGTCGTTAAGGAGGTATTGTTCACCGGCTGGGGCGGGTGAGTCCCTCGTTCCTCTGTGATGGGGTGGGGGGTTTGGTGATATCTGGAAGGGATCATGTCTATGATTGAATTGTATGTTTTTGGAAGCTGGAATCTGAGTCCACCACCTCTGTTTAAAGTTGGTTTTTCTCTCTTAACATAGATGGCTTCCTTCACGCCCCTCTCAAACCACCTATTTTCTTTATCCAGAATATGGACATTCTGGTCCTCAAAAGAATGTCCTTTGTCCATAAGGTGTAGGTGTACTGCGGAGTCTTGTCCAGAGGCAGCCGCTCTTCTGTGTTGGCGCATGGCCCAACACAGAAGAGCGGCTGCCTCTGGACAAGACTCCGCAGTACACCTACACCTTATGGACAAAGGACATTCTTTTGAGGACCAGAATGTCCATATTCTGGATAAAGAAAATAGGTGGTTTGAGAGGGGCGTGAAGGAAGCCATCTATGTTAAGAGAGAAAAACCAACTTTAAACAGAGGTGGTGGACTCAGATTCCAGCTTCCAAAAACATACAATTCAATCATAGACATGATCCCTTCCAGATATCACCAAACCCCCCACCCCATCACAGAGGAACGAGGGACTCACCCGCCCCAGCCGGTGAACAATACCTCCTTAACGACCAACCCTTAACAATCATAGACAGGTTTCAGGTATTACAGGAGACAATCCCCCCCTTAATGGCAATCCCCCCTTTAACGACCGACCCCTAGAATCATAGACAGTTCAGATATTACAGGCTAACGATGGAACTAACGACCCATTCATCGGTTACCATTGCATGTTTCCAAGCGATACAAGGCGTTGTCTATATAAGACTCAAACTCACTGCGGATCCAGACATTTGAATTGAGAAAGCTTCCTGGAGAGGTGGCGAAACGTCTTCAAATCTTGAAAACCAAGTCCAGTGGATATTTTTTGAATTTTTACGGAACAACTTACAAAACAATATAAGATTAATGCACTTTTGTTAAGTTGAATTAGTCAGTTATTTATATATTAAGCTTAAATTTGTAAGATCATTCCTATATAAGATAGGTGGTTAGGCATAAAAATCTCACATAATGCCTGTTACCACTATGACAAAAAAATGCTAATTGGCTCCTCCTGTACAGGTCCATTAATAGAGAGGTGGCTACAAGTCCAGACACTGTTACAGTGCTGTGAAATATAGTTACAGCGTTACTGTTTTGTTCTTTTTTTTGTCTCACTTAAGCATTTCAGATAATCAAATAAAGTCATCATAAGACAAAGGTAATAGTGTCTCAAGAACAACCTTCAATTAACTTATTTTTTAGTTCAGTTTCCCATGTTACACACAGGCTACCTTGCCTTCAGAATCAGGCACACACTTAAATAGCATCAGATGACATGAAGAAGGCTAAAAAATCTTAAAAGCAATAAATCATTCCCCATTCTAGATGTGATGGAAGGACAGATTAGAAGCAGAGCCATTTATAGAGGTGAAGATATTGCATCGAAGATAAAATATGCAAGTCATTTCTGACTTTATAATGTTGTGTACCTTATATGAACCCTGTCTACTTTTATTACCCAGACCTGAAGGGTATGACTTCCAACAAGCAGAGAAGAGACAAAAAAAGTTTGACAAGCTGTACAGATTGTGAAACTTTTTTACTGATTCAATCTCTAACATCAAAACACTTTAAAGTCAGAAAGCATCAATTTACTGTCTAATTTCCTTCTGGAGAAAAATTTAAACACTAAAAGTTAAATGAATGCTTTCTAAAATCATCAGCCCCAGTTAAGAATTATTGAACATGGTTTTCTGTTACAAATTAACCATAAGAGTATGACAATGGATGTTATCAAACATCATAAAGAGCTGAATCATCTGCTAATTTGATTTACTCTGGGAGCTGACGCGATTAAATGTCTTAAGGGATAAAGACTGGTGGAAATGATGGACCATTCAGCAAATTACTCTTAGGCAGCTGAAGAAATTATTGACAGACAGCAGTGTACAACTCCTCATAAATACAATCTCTTCCTAATGAACTGCATGAGGTCTCCAGACAGGGCTCTTATCTGAGAATGGAGCATTTTTGTCAAATCTGGATTCATAAGAATATTTTCATATTTATGTTAATAAGATCTAGTGGTTTGAATATCTGTTTATGTTTCAGTAAGTTTTTTTTCCTAATTTGCCAAATTAGAGGGACAAACAGATTTGAGCAAATCTGAAAGGTGTGGCATGCTTCCGTGTTCAGGGATGTCATTGCTATGATATCCCTAGAATCCCTCCTAAATACATTGTGGTAACATCGAGACAAATTGTCAAACAGTACTACTACTAGTACAACAATAGTTTTGCAATAAATAACTTACATAATTTGGTTAATATTCATAAAAACTGCAGTGATACACTCACGAACAACACAATATTAATTTTGTCATTCATTTATTACATTCTCCAGTTGTCTCTTAAGACATAGCAAACTGGGTATCCCTGCAATTGTGTGTTTCAGCAGCAAGCTACATGCTACCTGATCACCATATTCATGGCTGAGCTTTAATTATTCTAACAAGAGCAGAGGTAAAGCTGTGCTCCCTCAGCTTCTGCGGTTCAGGCCACAGCTCATCTGAAAGCAGGGAGATAAAAGAAGTGCAGCTTGGCTCCTGGCTTTATCTCGTCTGTGTTCTAATCAGCAGCAGTATTAATCATTGGCATTAATTAGAGCCATTAATCACTCTTAAGAATAGATGTGTCTGTATTTAGAGAGTGGAATAGGGGATCGAAATGAAGCATTTCAAAGGGAGAATGCCTGACCATTTTTCATTGCAGTGTGCTACTGTTTATGAAATCGTGTTTTTCTTTTGTGGTGTTTTTTACGACTGTTTTTGTCCTGGTTACTTTTCTAAATGAGCTTTAAAATCTCCATGGGTCTGTTCTCGGCAAAAAATAATAAAAAAAAGTGATAAAAGATATTAATGATTTAGCAGTGAATGGCTTCTGTCAAAAAAAAAGTCTAAATATTAAAGTTTGACAGCCGTTATGACTATCTCTTTCAACCAAAGAGAAACTGAATCTGTTTGTTGCACTTGATCAGTCTGTGGTTTTTTTTGTTTTTTTTTTTTGTTTTTTTCCGAGTAACATATGACTAATAATCCAACAATATTAAACAGTAAAGAACAAAAAGACCTGTTTGGCATGCCCTGTTTGACTCCAGTTTTAAAACAACAGAATTTTTTTTTGAAGAACCGCTATATTAAACTGACGGAAAGTGCATAGAAACCTACATCATTCAGGATTGTGAAGGCCTCGGTCAGAGCTTCGCCCAGCAGCCCGATTCCTTTGGCAAACAACTTATCCAGATGTTCACGGAAATGCTGATAGATAGTAATTAAAACAATTATTTTAAACACCACAATTTCATGAAGCAATAAGTCTGGAAAGATAATTTTATTTGGAACTCACATCTTTGTTGGTTGTGTCAGCCCGGACCAGCGTACCATTCAAACAAGGCTCTACATAGTGGATCTCCTGATTGTACTGTGGATAAATAATTAATAATAAAGTTAAACTTTGTGTTCCAAAAGGGTTTATATCTCTTCAACTTTTTGTAACTTAGTTCTGTTATATCCAAAAACTTTGACCTACTTTTTTGGGCTTTAATGTGATAGACATAAATAAGTAAATAATTGTAAAATAAAAATAATGATTTAGATTGCCTTTAAATTCTTTTACCATACTATCTATTAACTCTGCTGTGCATTTGTATTCAGTCACTCAGAGAAGAACCTTTAACTGCGATTACAGCTGCAGCTCTTTGCGTCTCGGCTTTGCATGTCTAAAGCCTGAACTGCCTGAGACATAAACAAAACTATTTCATTATAGCTCCGGCTGCATGTTTGGAATTACTTCCTGCTAGAAGAACCTCCATCTTTTTTTTTTTTTTCGAAACTCTGATTTTCCACCTTTGTTTCCCTATATATAATTATCTTCACATGTCAATTTATTTTGCTGCCCCTTTTAAAATGAAATAACTCTACATCATGATGCTGCCGCCAGGTTTCAATAAAGAGATGATGTGTTCAGGGTGACATGCAGTGTTATCTTCAGAAGTTTGCATGTTGTTCAGATAGTTGATATAATCTAATCAGAGCAGTTGGTTCCACGTTTGCTGTGTCATTAAATGGTTTGTGGCAAAAAAAAAAAAAGAATTCTTATGACTTTCTTCAGTTAAACATCCTTGCTTAAAGGATATATTTATTTAATGAAAAACCAATAGTTTTTCTGATTAATGCATCTCTGCAACTCCTTTATTATTTCTACAGGCCAAACAGCCACCTCTTTAAATGGAAAAATTCCTCTTCCCTGCATTGAGGTTGTGTTTAGCTGGATGAACATGACATGAAATATTTTCATGTTGCAATAAAAAATGGCAAATCTCTCTGTTTTTCAAGACTGTCTCCTTAAATATATGTACACAGCAACTTAAATACAATATCTGGTCTGTAACTCAATCATTAATCACACAATCTCAGTAATGGGATTTAACTTCATAAACTATTGGCACCCATGGTCTCCATTACAGTGATAAAACAGTGCTTCCTGAAGTGTTGGAATTTTGTTTAACCATCCACTAAGTATGCTTTAAATTCTATAAAATTACTTTATTCCGGACCTATCTGCTGTGTTCCATGGTCATACAATTTTTAAAGACAATTTGATGGATTTTATATGGGAAAGTGAGATGAGGAAAAGGGAGGAATACAAATGCATGCAGCACCTTTTATGATTTTGTAAAGTATAGGGAAAACTATATTTTCTTCCTCACAATTATTGATTGTTTGTGTTTGTTTATCACATAAACTCTCAAACAAAATACAGGAAAGTTTGTGATTATAACTTGACAAAATGTAAAAAATTAAAGGTTGGATTTTGCAAGACACTGTACAGAAATCCTAAGACCTTTTTTTATTGTACATAGCAGACAAAACAATAAATAGCCTGTAAATTTGAAAACATACAGCAATGATGTTAAAGAAGTCATCATCTCCCAGTGTGTCTAAAATGGAGGAAACCGTCTGCCTGGCAATCGTCAGCCTAAGGCCCTTCATGCTCCCACTAACATCTACTAAGATCACCACATCTTTTGGAGACGTAGCTGCCTGGATGTACCTGTGGGGTGGAGTTTAATTAAACACCTTATCAGAACATTACAGCAAAAAGAGAACTAATAAAATTTGAATAATGTCCTGTACAGTCTGCTTGAAAGGATGACCTTTTAAACCCTTACCACTTCCGATTCCTGCAGTCAAAGCCAATGACACCGTGCTCATCCGGGTGCCACTTTACTCCTTGAGGAGAAATTAAAGGGTAAATTTACAGCAAAACTGAAAAATAAATTGAGATTATTTCACGAAACAGAAAACAAATGCAAAGGGAATCTCTTTAGCTGTCTATGGTTCATAAACAATACACGTTATATAAATGTGCTTTAAGTCTCAAGCTTTAAAAAAAATGCTAAATAAAATAACAACAATAGAAAAAAATTTACATTGTTAAAAGCAGCAACTAGGGATGCACGATATTGGGATTTTGGCCGATATCCGATATGCCGATATTTTGAAACTCATGTAGCCGATAACCGATATCGATACTGATGTTAAAGCTGGACAAAAATAAGTAGTCATTGAAAATAGCAGTTTTGTTATCCATTTCTGACACTTTGAAAAATAATATACTCAAATATATTTTCATTATGCTGATATCAAATAGATTTTTAAAAACGCAGTATCGATCTATTTTACTTTCAAAATCTCGTAAAATTTCATCGTTCTGTTACAAACTCTTGTGATATTTTGCAAATTCTTGTGAGATTTTGTTGGTAAAATAGATCGATACCGCGTCAATATATCAACATATAAAAATATGGCAAAATTTCATGAATTTTCGGGGGATTTCGTAGCATAACGATGACATATAGCAGTATTTCATTAGTAAAAGAGATTTATATGGTGTTTTTAAATGGCAATATATCAGCATGTGAAGATATTTTAATGTATCAATAATTTTTCCCTCGTCTTTAGGGAAAAAATAAAGTTTTGGAGGAAGAAGAAGTAGTTTTTTTTTTTTTTTTGACTTTAGAAACTCAGAAGCTGATCAAATATCGGGTTAAATATCAGTGGGGTGGCCGATGTCCGTTATTCAGTTTTAAGGCCGATACAGGCTGATACCGATATGGGGCCGATTATATCGTGCATCCCTAGCAGCAACTCTTAAACATTTTAAACTGCAGCCACAGCTTTTTAATAATCTTTAGGCCCAATGAACATGACTTTTTAAAACATACTTTAAACATAAAGTAATTTTGAAATACATGTATGCCAATAGCATATCTAAACATTTAACATTTAAATATATGTACGTTTTAACAGATTATTTTAGCAGCAAAACCCAAATCTTTTAACCCAAAGTTTCAGTTAACACCAGAATCAGAATCAGAATCTCTTATTATATATGCACCACAATAAACTGTGCATTCATGCTTTCCTTTTAAGACCAGAGTGGGGCCAGCTATCTTCAGTAGCATTGGACAAAATAGACCCCGGTCTATATGGGCAATAGAGAGATACAGGACATGCAACCATGCTTCCAATCATGTATTCACTATAAGTGCAGTCTACAGAGTCTTAACCTAGTATGTATGCCAAGTAAGACAATAATGCTGTCCAGATGACTTTACAATCAAAACAAAACAAGAAACATCAACAGAAAAATAAAGCATCCCTTTCAAAGTAAAAATGTTGTGTTACGGACTGTAGAATGTTCTCTTTGTAAGGCATACTGCCCGCTAACAACCAGGCAAGGGAACAGCCAATCTAGGGCCCTACAAGGATTCACAGAGTGGATTGATAGACTCCAACTGGAGATATCAGTAAACCTACTTTTTAAAACGGGCCTCAGTTCTTCAACTAAAGGGACAAACTACAAAATGGCAAGAAAAGTCTAGAAGTGGCTAGATGAAATTAAGAGAAAGCAGGGGTTTGTATGAACAACAGAAAGACTAATGAACAGCAATAGGGTTCTGTTATATTATGTTTTGTTTTTTAACCTCCTTCTGCCATAGTGCATTCTTTATTTCTTTATTAGTGTTAAGGCATGATCTGTAATAAGAATTTACATAAAAAGGCTGCTGTGTTTCTAAGAATAGGTGCACACTCATACAAAATTGTACGCCAGCTTTGAATATTAACTGTATAATCAATTTGTTTATTTATTTGTTTTAAAGTAACAGTAAAACCTTGTTTTACACACCATACATATGTATAAATTAACTAAAATCTTTTCACTGGAACCATAGTAGCACCTCTCCTCGTTCAGGAAACAGAGGGTTGTTCCTTTAGTGACTGCAGACTACCACTGACAAATTCTGATTAATTACAGTCTGTTTAAATGCATCCTCTCTGATGGTCTGTAAAATTACAACATTAGCCAAATTACCCCTTTAGAAACCCTAAATCATTTGTTCTGATCAGTTTTTTTTCCCATTTTACAGCAGTGACATCTCCCATAGGACAAATCTCCCTTTCCTTCCCCATCTCAATCCAACACACACAAATATATACAGTTAAACCTTATAAGAATATGCATCTTCAGTTTTAGAAAATGCTTTAAATTTTCAACAAAAATCGCTGTAGAAATCAATACAGCACTGAAGCATAAAGAAAGAAAATAACTCTCACCAGGGTACTGCCTGAAGAAGCCTTTCGCACTTCCAAAGTACTGCCAGATCAGTGTTGGATCTCTTTCAAAGTTTTCCACAAAGACTTTGTTCAAGGCCTCGGACCAGTAAACCCCATTGACGATATCTGGGTCTAAGGAGGTGGACACAGAGACAGAGAAACAAACAGGTGAATTAAATGTTGATAATGCAACCATCTTGGTCACCATTATTGGATGCGGGATTGACCTTTATCCCTTATTGACTTTTTCTAAAGCCAACACAATGGCTGCCTCTAAATCATCCCCTCCCCTCCGGCTGCTAGACGAGCCTCTCTTTGTGCAGAAAGCAGAGTTATAGGGAGTCTATTTGAGCCAAACAAAAGCCACCCAGGCAATGTGACAACAAGAAGCGACTGAGCAGCTACCGTATGAACAACATCTTTACAGAAAGCTTTGCCTTTATGTCTGGGCTGATATCGATCGCCCGACTTCACTTCCCACAGCTTGTGACACTGATACAGCTCCAGCTACCATTCCTTACTTCACCACTCACTTATCCTTTGCCATCTCCCCATTTTCTTCATCAGCTTCCTACACTGTAGGTAAACAACTCTAATACCACCTTGTCTCTCAGGCATGAAACAGGACTTCTCACCTTTGTTGTACATGTTGGTGGGCACCTGCACCACACTGAGGCTCAGGTTGACTGAAAGGTTGTTGAAATGGTCATTTGGCTCTAGGATGAACTCTCCTCCAAGCTCCACATTGTTGCCCTCCTCGTCCACCTCATTGATCAGCACAGCATTGAAGTACTCATACTAGAATAAAAAGAGGGAAAGTAGACCAGGTAAAACATGAAGACAGAGCAAGAGCCTGTTTAATGAATAGTTTGTTGATGTAGGAGGACTTCCAAAGAGAAAAATCTTGTTAATGAGGATTTCAGAAGTGCACACATCTTCATCTTAATTTCTATCATTGAAAAAACAAAACAAAAAGAAGTGTAACAGTAGCGAAAAATTTGTAATAATTAGATAATGCTCTGATATTGTATCTCATAATTAGGACAGTTTTTAAAATAGTCATATGAAAGATACGTGAGAAAACACCCCTCTATTAATTGAGATTAAGGTAAAGGTACAGTTGATGCGACAATGGATTTTTTGGCAGACTCTTTCAGTGAGTATACTGTAGCAGCACAAAATTATCTTTTTATTATTGTTTAACCCCAGCTATGCTATGCTAAAGAAATTATAGAAAGAACAGATTATATCTATAGAAACTGTTTTCACTTGCTTAAATTATGAAGAAAATAAAACTGAATTGAATTATTTTAGGATTTTGTATCTATCATTTATTTATATGTATAAGAAAGAATAAACACAAACTGTGGATGTTTTGACTCAAAAAATATGCATATATTTCAATTGTATAAAATCAAGTCAAATGATTACCAAACTCTGCAATATGTTGATTGTGTTGATCATTCATATTAGCAATACTTGATGTAAATTCAAGTTTATTATCATGTTTTACATAAAAATTTGCCAAAATTTACTTTGTTGTGTTAAATGGTTAATTTTTATGCCTAAAAATTACAAAATATATATTTCTTCTTTAACTGGTCCATACATCAGGCTGTTGTTTTAAATAAGGATTTTTTTCTTAATCTGTGCTACCTGGTTAGATAAAAGCCAAGGTTAGTGCCTTTGCCTCTAAGCAGGGTTAAAATTTTAACTGTAACTTTTTGACACATTGTTGTTAATGATTTGTCTTTGTCTGGATGCTTAAGTTTATTACTAAAATCTAGAGACATGTGTGTCAAGTTTCCCAACTGCCTTAAGCTATGAGTGTGAGGATTGACTCCTGTTTCTGTGTTGTCCTATTGATGGATTGGTAACCTGTCCAGGGTGTTGCTGCTGCCTTTTTCTGGCAGCAGCAACATCAAGATCCTGAACAGGATCTGGCAGGCATGAAAAAACTGTTTTTTATCGTCACACCTTCTTTGAGCTGCAGACCATAGAATTTTTTTTCAGCTCATTTAAATAAATACTAAAACGCATTCATTTTAAACTTGAGAACCTACAGTGGCATCAGCAGTAAATAATGATAGAACATATTAATAATTATCTATTGTTCAAAAGTTAGGGATAACTTGCAGAGTCGTAGAACATTGAAGTTAAAATAGCGAAGAAAAATATATTCTACTATTGGAAACTGCAAGTAGAGAAAAATATTATGGAATGATGGTTCTATTTATTAGATATTCAAATTAACAGAGTATTTGGGAGACGCAGAAGAAACTAAATGGCAACTGCAATAACAGTGCCTCATACTGCCTGTCAAGCATAATGAAGGCACAAGATGATCTCACAAAGTTTTATAACATGAAAAATCTGAAGAATTGCTATGGTGGGTGGCACCTTAATCCTTGGAGGCTATCAGAAAGTTTATGGAATGTTATATCATACTCTATGGAAAGCATTTCACCTTGGAAAATTGTATCCAACAGCAGAGGAATCTAAAACTGAAATATACCTAAAATGTGTCTGCAGTATTTAAAGGGTAAAAAGGCACCCAGGAGACACTGACAACAACAAAGTGGCTGTCACATTTAGAAGATTTTAACCCTGTTGACCTGATATGGGAACTGCCTGACTATACGGTACATAGAAAGACAAGTTACCCTATGATCGTTTCTCTAAAAGGCAGTAAAGGCAGATTAATTTACAAAAGAATAACAGTTCATTTTAAGTCTGCCAAACTTTATGTGCATTTCTACCATTGTCTGCAGTTGATTGAAAGGCAGTTTAAGAAACATTTTGAAAGTTTCCAACAAGATGTTTGGACATATGTGATGAAATGCTGTTAAAGTGAATGATAGGTATTAGTTTCATATATTTTAGTTGCTTCTTAAGAGAGAGATGAAGTAACTCTGGTTCAAATGTTTTTCATCACGATGAGTAAACATGTTCCTGTTCATTTTCCTTAATGACATTGTGAGTGTTAAGTTGATAATACAAAACTGCAGACAAAAATTTGATTTTAGGTGACAATAAATAAGCTGACTTCAACAGTTCAGCAGTCTAGAAGCCTGTATACATCCTTCCTGTATCCTAGCTAAATTTCATTTTTGTGTTCTTAAAAGATGAAGTCCGAAGGTGCTAAAACTCAACATGGTAATTATTAAAAAAAAAAATCTTTTCATTTTCTGCATTTATCAATTTGACTGTTGAAAAATATGTGTTTCCATAAAAAAACAATAAGAATTTGGGGGTTTACATTCTATTTTAGCAGAGGTGTAGTAGGAACCATTTGAAATCAAGCAAAGTTAATGTGGTTTAATTCCAAAAAAGTAAAAAAAAAAAAAAAAAAAAAAAAAAAAACACACACATCAGGTTTAAACACAAAAAAACAAGTCAAACCTCTGCCTTATATTGTGTTGAAGATGGCACAACTAATTCTATTTGAGGATTTTATGTGACAGACCTACACAAATGACAGAAAAACAGTAAAACATGGTCTTCAACATGTTTTACTGCAAAGTTTGTAAAGCATGTCGGATATATTTCTGTTGTAATCTAAAGTACCTTATTTTGATACCCCTGAAACAAAACTTGCAAAGGGTTTCTACAGGAATAACGCATTAGTAACAATGATTTACATTTATTCATATCAGAAATTAAACTATTCTCTTAAAGTTTTAGAAGTTTGTCAGATAATGTTAGTGAATAAATATAAAAGATATCTGAGACATTTACAGCAAGGTTAGGTGACTAATACCCAAAGTTAAGGGCTCAGTCCATCTTCACTAAATCACCAAGAATATAGCTTCACTGCGAGCCCACAATATGACTGTCCACATACATTAAGAGGAGAGAGTGAATCAGAGAAGCAGTTCAAAGTTCAAAGCTGCAGTGATATACGGACTCTGAAACAGAATTAAAGTATATTGTGAGATGGAACATTTTTTTTTTAAACTGTGGCATACACTGATCAAAATTTTAACACACCATTTCTAAAGAGATGCTTTAAACCGTCTCCTCTTACTTTATCATTACACTGTACTCTTAGTTTGTCTTAGAAAATCTTTTTCTTTATTATTATTTGGAAACATCAAAAGGTTTAAAAGGGTTGAATACTTCTGCAAGACATGCTGCATACGATGGAAAATTTTTAACTTCTAACTGGAACTCCACCATAGGTTGGTTCTATTGGACTCTACTCTTAAATTGGTCATCGGAATGTTTTTTGACATATCCAGTAAAGCAAAGGTTTTAATATCAAATTTTAATGCTCTCCCTAAGACATACAAAAAATTATACAGTTTTAGCATTATTTAATATTAATGATGTTAAGTAAAAAAATATCCAACAACAACACAGTTTGTTCACTTAAGGACTTTGGAGTAAATTAATCAAGAGCATTATCCTGCATGGGGAATATGTCCATGTAATAAGAAAAAGATTTATTAATAATATAATTTAAGAAGAAAAGTATTTAAATATCCCTTATTAGACATTTTGTCTGCATATTTTCTATTTTTATTAAAATGTAGATATACATTTTTCATCAGTAATTTAATGTAAGAATGTATTGTGCTTTGAGAAAAGTGAGAAACTCTGTGCTTACAGTTTGCATGACCTGTCCTTCGCTGCCTCCTGCTGTACTAAGGGAATAACTCATCCTGTCTGAGCGGCCTCTCCGTGGCCTCTATTGTGCGCACCGAAAGAGGAAGGAAGAGGGAGATAGTTGGTAGATATGGGAGGAAGGGAGGGGGAGATGGCTGATGGACTCCACAGCATCAGTCTCAGGGGAGACTGAGCGGGCATCACCATCAAGCAGCCTCTGACAGCTCATACCACGCCTGAGCAGCTCTCTGACGAGCTGCAGCAGAGCTCAGAAAGGGGAAGGAGGAGCCTCAAAGGGCCACGGAGGGGAGGGGGGAGACATGCACAATCAGCAGAAACTCAGTGCTGTATAGAGGCACGTTAACCACCAGGGTTATTACTGTGGAGCAGGCCGTGGGAGTGGGACACTGCAGTTCTCCGAGACGGCCCACTGATTCTTACAGCTTTGCAGTTAGCTGGAAGCCATGCTGCAGAGATGTGTCCTCCATTACAGACTGCAGGGGCCCCACTGTACAGCCAGGCTTATGGTGCCAAGGAAAGATCTTTCTGAGCTCCTCTTGGCACTATTAGGTTCACAATTTGCACAGAATCATCCTTTTAAGATGAACCAAATACACAGTTGCCTGCAGTTTTCAAATTGCGAAAAAAAAGCAGTTTATGGAAAAAAATAAAAGTGGTTTCTTGACTGTTTTTGCTTTAAAATGTATTGATTGTATCATGTTTTGTTCGAGCCCACTTAAAAAAAAATACAAATTCTTTATAAAACCACATTTAATTTCTTACATATTCCTTTCGAGTTATGGTTCAACATTTAACAGCTTGGCTTGTGCCAAACTGGAAAATTTATTATGGCTTGCTTTTGAGGTCTGCTTTTCTTCTTGCCGCTTTTATTTAAAGGCCAGATTTCTACACAGTTAGTTTTCCTGTCCAAAAATGACTCTTGGCTGCTTTTCTGATGGACAATGTATCTGTCAAAGCTGCCAGTTTTGGTTTACAGTTGTGTCATACTACATCTTCTGCTAAATGATGGATTGAACATTTCTCCATGAAATGTTCAAAACGTGAAATGTTTTACAACCCATCCCTGCAGTGAACTTCTCTGCAGCTTTATCTCTAATCCGTTTACTTTGACTCTCCTGCTTCACTGTAATGTTCTCAAACAAAACTGAGAAGTCTTTATAGAAAAATACATTTTATTACAGTTATAGCACTGCAAAAAATATAAATAAATATATAAATAAAAATATATATTAAAAAAAAAGTAAACATGTCTTAAATTGAGTGTTACCCTGAATTTAAGCAGGTAAATAAGAAAACTTTTTCTTTAAAACTAATTTAAAGAAAAACTTATCTAGATTTTTTCCAGTGATTACATGCAGTTGGACTTTTTTTCCTTCTTTTTACCAGTTATCAATTAATGTTTATTAATGGAATGCCCCTTGAGATGTGCCATCTCGTTTTCGAGGGGGTTCATAAATTAGGTGATTTCTGAAGGCAGATTTATTTCACAGGTACAAGGAAACATGGCTCTAGAAGCAAGTGCAAAATTTACTTTTAAGATTTGCAATAATTTGGAAAACCATACATTTTTGTCCTTTACATAGCTGTCACAATGTTATTTAACAAATTTCTTCTAATAAGATACAAAGTTGTAGACTGTAACTGTACAGCATTAGAGGGATTTTTTACAGTACATATGAAGGAAACTAATAAATAAATAAATATTGACGCCGTAGGCTTATTTTAGAAACTAAATGAATCATTTGAACAAATGAAGTGTTCATTTGCAAAAAAAAAAAAAGATAAAAGCCATTAAAAAAACGAGCTGAGGCATGTAATTTACTCTTTGCATGGCGCTGCTGATAAAAAGGGTGTTTTTGTTTTTGAAAAATTATAAAGAAAATATATTTGATATAAATTTGTTGATGGTTTAACTATTTTGTAACCTGACAAGCCAGAATGATGCTTAAATCCTTTAAAAATGTGTTAAATGTTTCACAGACTGGATAAAGAAAAAAATATATATAGGCTATATATATATATATATATATATATATATATATATATATATATATATATATATATATATATATATATATATATATATATATATATATATATATATATATATATATATATATATATATTGTTTCAGTTTTAGTACAAAAAATGTAATATAAGAGTGTCTCTATCGTAATAGAAACCAGTAAACATTTATAAAATGCTTAGTAGGCCTATGTAAGAAGATTCACATGTAAGTAACATTTTTAAGCGTATAATTCAAACTACTACGGCCTCTGTCCAGCACAGCACAATCAAACAGAAACAGTTCCCTTTCTGCACCGCTTTGCTGGATTCAGGTCAGATGTGACTGTCCTGACTGGAAGCAGCTGAGATAAAGGCAGCAGGCTTATCTCTCTGCGGTCGGTGAAATGACGCGTGAAAAACGCGCAGTGTCAGAGAAGGCGGCGGTCCGCTAAATGGTGCCAGAGGGAACAACATCAGGACATCAGATCATTACTACCACAGGTGCATATTGTATTTTGCTCATTATTTTTACATGGCCTGTTAGATGCAATGACAGTGTAAAGACCCTGTGCCAATAGCATAATAGGTAATAATCACATTTATACGCATTTGTTGTGTTTTTTGTCTTTGTTTTGTTTTTAAAGAAGAGATTCCAGAGTGATAAAGTTCTGAAAATATAAAAAGCATTGTATTTTGCGCAGTGAAAATAGAGTTGGTTTCAGGAATGTTGTTTTTAGACTTAAAAGTAGGGGGGGAAATATTAATCTTTTTGTTTGGGATTTATGAAAGCGCTATAAAAAAAACAAGCACAATTGCTGTAGGTACAGGCCTTATCAAAATAATGCATACTTATTTGAATCTTCAATCTTACTTTATGGTTTTGTGGGTTTAAACAGCAGAGGGAGCAAGTGGAGGAATGTTGGATGTATTCACACGATGTAAATGCTTCTATTAACTGCAAACTGCTGTCGTTATTTCTGTGTTGTGTTGCTTGAATGCGCTTTCCAATCTATAGCCATGGAGCTGAAACAATGCGTCGCGCAAAAAACGAGTTCCATTTATCTTTGTCCGCGACGCAGTGTGAAAAAGAGAGAGAGAGGGGTGGAGAGGGAGAGGAGGGACAGCGCTGAAATACTGCATTTCCGCTGCAGAGACGCAGACAGATCAGTGTGGATGGTGTGTAAATCCGCAATGAGAGCCGCTGAAAAATGTCCAGAACACTTACAACAATGATACAAACAAGTGAAAAAAAATGGTTGGGGATCTGATTCTTTATTTTCATGTGTTTTAATGTGCGCAATGTGGCTTTCAATGTTGTGCCAACGCAGACAATAAAACAAGTTGGGTTTGTTCCTTAAAGCAAATGTTCTGGTGAGCGATTGCAAATCTCTTCATCTAAATTTTCTTTGGGTGAAGCAAAAGGAAGTAGTCTGGTGTTTTCTGATATGGATGCATCTCAAGAAAATGGCACAGTGGATGTAATAATCTACTCAATATTAATTTGTAAGGTTACTCCTAAAGGAATTTATTTTATTTTATTTTTTTTGCTTACATTAAAAATACCCATGCCCAACTCTTTTGTAGAAAGAGGTCAGAACTGCAAAACACATGTCAGTGCACAGATAGCAAAAAGCAATTGAACCCTATATTCAAGGCTGAATCAAGGTCCTCCTCGCTGTTCTTTTTTAATCTAGATTGACTTTAAAACACTGTTTAAACTTTAATTTATTATTCATCATGAATTCTGAAAACAGTATCTGTCTTTTTATGAAATTATATTTTCATGCGTAGAAAGACACCCATTTTTTTTATTAAACAAGTAGGCAACTTGCCTACTCAGCACATTCTTGTACATTTAAAAAATATTTTTTTAAAGAAATTATAAATTTTCTTGAAATAAATATAGCTACATTCAGTTGATTTTAAAACAACCATATGCGCGACCTATGATCTTATCTGGTAGGATAACCTTTCATAAAGCACGCATCTTATACCCTATTAACAGCAAGGTTTTCTAGTAATGTTGTTGCTCTGTGAAATACTCTAAGGTAGCCTAGAATGTCCAAATTTAAAAACTTTATAAAACCAGAAGCAGGACATTAGAACAGAACGCGCAATAATGGGTCTGTTGTTTGAAAATCCTGCAGCCTAAACCCTCTCTAATCTTAGGCGACATGGTTTAGGCCTATATATATATATTAAAATATTGGCCAGATTTGAATGTTTTGCCGTCTCTCTTTTTTAAGTATTTATTTTATATTCATTCTTGAAACATCCCGGAGACTCACCTGCAGGTCTGGGTTTTCTTCATGCTGATGATGCGCTTCTTCCGCAGCCTCCACCAGCCGCTGAGGAGAGGAAAAAGGCCCGTTAGTTCCTGCACATGTTACAGAAGTTGCAGAAGGCCATGACCAATCAGAACAATGATTCCGTAGACAATATTCTAAGGAAAAATCTTTTTGAGATGATGTACAAAAACCCCTAACTTTCTTTGGAAAAGTATTTTCCTCTGAGGTGCGTCTTTTAACTTTTCCGGTTAAGAACTTTTTTCATATTACTAACCTGGTTAAATTTTACACTTTAATTCTACATTTTATAGAGATTGGTTTGTGAATATCATAGGTGCATAAGGAAGGATGATCGATGGATATTTAGTTGGCGTTCACCAACGCCGCTATAACCTTCAGCTGTAACACCTGGAGAGAAAAAAAAGGCAAATAAAAAATGTGCTTAGGTTCGGTGTTTCCGGAGGAAACCGAACATTGAAATCGTTCTCGCCTTAGGAGCCAAGCAGGTAATTAACATCTGTCACATGTGTCAAAAATAACTGCAACATAAACACAACTCAGGCTGCTGAGCCAAATTCAATTGACCTCACGCTAAAATCTTGTTTCGTCAGCAGAGAAAAGGTCAGGAAAGCTCTATGCATTACATTTTTTTTTTCCAGTGGAGATCGCATTTTCCTTTTAATGTAATGTAAACACTCAGATACACGATAAATTTAGAATTTGAAGTAAAATTATTACTATTATTGCTTTTCTTGTATTTATGCTTTTAATTAAATCACATAGTATTATGGTTGTTGGATGTATCAGCTTTTCTTATCTAGCAGAATCTCTTTTATTGAATTAAACGCCGTTATTTAGACCCTAATTGCAGCGACTTATCGCCCTCTTGGGATCAGGCGCAGAGAGATAAACCTTATCATTGCTCTGCAGTCCTACAGAGGTGCAGCTCTGAAATGCTCTCATGTCTTAGATAGCTGATGCAGCTCTGAACACATCATGCAACAAAACACATAGGGAGACTTTGCTCTACAAAAAAAGCAGTGGCTTTAGATTCTACTAATGATGAATAATTAAGCAGACCCACATTGAAGGAGTCTCAGAAAACTCATTTAGTTTAGTCAATTTCAGAATGAGTTTGCGACAAAAATGCGATTTGTTAAATGGTACTTTAACTAATTAGCTACTTTAATCAATTCCTGTAGGTGTGTATAACAGCAGCTTAACTGCAAAATTAAACCAAATGGCAAAATAGTCCTCTAATTCAAGTATTATTTGGTAAGAAGAAAAAAATCCCAAACTAAGAAATTAATCTCTCTAAAAATGACTACTTTCAGGGTCTATGAACTTTGTTGATGCTCTCATTTATGACACAAGACAACTTTGTTCCAGCCCCACTTGAAAATGTACAGGAAGTAGGTTATGGTGGACCGACCTACATGCAGGAGGAGAGCCAGAACATTTACAATAAGAAGTCTAATAAGAACAAAGTTTCAGATGAGGCAAAAGGCTGCAAAGGAATCTATAGCAAGGAGCATGACATGTAAACAACAAAATAATCCAGCATAGAGTAGGTGAAAACAGATGTAGTGGGAGGAATAACCACTGGGTGAGGTATCAGGGATTACCCTGATGGTTGGCAGTTTGAAAGTGGACATGAAGCTAAGCACAGAAATATTTATTAAAGTTTTTAAATCATATCTAAATAAATACATCCATAGTCCAGGTATAGTTACAATATTTTAAATCCAGACTAACTATGACAACCAAGGCTGGTGACAACCCAAGTTTATCTTGCCACCATGCAGAGGTGGTACTGAAGGGTACATACAGTAAGAGAGCTGCAACAACAAAACAAGCACCTGTAGTTCATTAAGTCTGTACATCAATTAATTGGAATAAAGACCTTTTTATACATCCTTAAAGGGATGCTAATGGGGATAATGTGTGTAATTACGAATTTACAACAAGATAAATGGTGTCATCAAAAGGCACAAAGTTATTTTGCGCTTATTGAGCCACTACCTCTGAGAGAAGCAACACCCCTGACCCGCCCTCTCCCTCATAGGGACAATCCCAACCCCACCTTTTGCTGTGCCACAGCTTCCAATTTTCTGCTATGCAATGAATGAATTGAAAATTGATTTCCGCAACATGTTTTTTTCTTTTTTTTAACATACCCTGGTGGCTTCCGCTTTCCTCTGGAACATTTCCTCCATCTTTACAGCCAGGTTTTTAACCAGCTTCACACCATCAATCTCCTCCACTCTGACCGACTTTTCAGGCTCTTTATATTTCTGAGAAAATAATCATAAACAAAAGTGACAGCTGGGACAGGTGGAGATATTTTGAAACAGCAGTTGACCCATTAAGGCTAATGCAGTTATTCACATTGTATTATGTTAAAAGAAAGAAAGCGATAAGATGCCTCCTAGCATATCAGCACAGCATTGTTTCAATTCACTCGCTCCAGAGAGGCAGTGGCTGTTAAACAAGGATTATAAACATTGATGTATTTGCTGTCATGATGCATGCAGCCAGACATATGGGAGTGCTTGATATAACCTGCAGTTAAAAAGGACCGACTGTCTTTAAATGTTCTTAGTGATTGGCTACAAATGCAGAGTATCCCTTTCTCTTTTATTGGCTGGAGGTGGCCATGTTGGGTGGCCACTGGGAGGGGCTGTGTAGATGGGAAGGAAGGCTATGCATGGTAAGAGGGTAATTGAAATGGAGTCAAAGCACGAGAGAAAGATAATAACATGTCAAGCTCGGGCAACTCCGAGTAATGAACTACACCTAAAATAATGCTGATTCTGCCGGATGTACAGGACCTCCTATGATAAAAACAAAAGCTTGCAATGGCTCAGAGGAATATAGCATTGCATAATCCAGCATCTACCAGGCGCTCACAAAAACACTGTATTACAAAACAAAAGGCTTCACATTTTCTCATTTTCTGCTTCCAATAGTGTTATCCCAAAGAGAACACAATAAGCTCACACATTCAAAAGGAAAACAGAATGTGTGGACAAAACACACACACCAGGACATGAGGCGACAAATTACCTACTGAGAAGAATAGTGTGAATTTGCAGTGGAGCAGAACAGTTCATTTCACGCCTGTCCTCCTCACCCCAGCACCCCAAGCCCCCAGCCCCAACACCGACCCTCAGTCTCACCACCTCGCAAGCCCTTAAGTCGTCAAGTGGAGGTTAAGCTCCATCCATCAAAAACCCTGATCGTGATTATCAGTTAGAACGATAACCAATAAAGGAGCTCCAGGTGCCAGAAGAGCATAAGAGCTTACCCAGGTTTAAAGAAATCAGGGAAATCACAATAAACTGCAAGTAATAATTATCTCATTTGGTTTACAGCTCAATACTTTCTGCTGATTTGTTTGACACAGCTTTCTCCAGACATGCTTGCCTGCACAGGAACATGGGAAAATAACTTATGTGCTCATACTAGGACGCATATGTGCAGGGTAGAGGGCAGTGAATAAAATCCATGTTCCCTAAAATATGACATAATGTTAAAGTTCATACATTCAAACGAAGATCAGATACAAAAGAATTTTTACCTCAGGGCAGGAGAATCCTGGGTTTTGAGCTTGAAGACGTTTTCTAAATGCTGTTTGGACACTTTCTCCATACTTTCGAGTTTTTCGAGATGCTTCGCTTTCCTCCCAAAGACAAGCAGCTGTGATCTTGGGGTTCATTCTGCTGGTGGTCCTAATTGGGGGACTGGGCTCAGAAGAGGAGTTGGCTCCAGCTCGTGGTGCTGTAATGGACCACAGCTCCTAGAATAAATCCAATGGTGCAAAGTTGAGATTTAATGAATGGAACGGTCTGAGATGCAATTAGAATAAAAAATGAAGTTGTCATAATCTTCTATTGAAGATAACTTTGAATGTCAAGGTTACCTTGAATGTTTCTCTAAGTTTGCTGTCTACATATATAACAAAGAGTGGCCCAACGGCACGCTGTATCTTAGATTTCAGTTCAGACAAAACTGATTGGAACACAGATGCTCATGAAGCCGTAAAGCATTGCACTACATTAAATCAAGTTACATGCTACTGAACAACTCTGAAAAACAAATATAGCAAACCTTTATACCTGGAACAACAGATAATTAATTTAGGACCAGTATGCTCAATTTATCTTGTAGAAGAAAAGTCCTCAACTTCAGCAAAATCAAGTTATTTTTAATTTGAACACAATGTTAGGTTCATTTATTGCTCAGTGATGTGTATATTTCTTTTTCACAATCTACAAATTACATGTATTCTAATCTACATAATAGGGATTTTATAATTGACAGAAAAATGTTACAGATACAAATTTATAACATGTTTGTGTAAATGTTTGTATCAGTGGCTTTTTACATGTAACCATTTTTAAACTGGAAAACTTTGAAAACAATTTGTTACTTTAGTAGTTTCAACCCTACAATTAGATGTATAAATTTGAGGAATTAAACTAAAAGCTAAAGTATTAGGTTAATAGCATCTAAAACACATATTATTGTCACGCTGTAGCTATGTGGGTATTTAGAAAGCAAATATGATATTTGACCATAAGAACCAAGCAAAATGAGCCATTGCTTTGTCTTTCATATTCAGGGCACCTACAAAAAAGGCTTTACCTCTCACCCAAAACCTAGATCAAAACATTGCATATTTGTTTATCAATTATAACGAGGTTTCCAGAAAAGCTACTATGAAACATCAGTTATAATTAAAAATTTGTCAGGATTTAAAACTAGCTGTTATAATTCATCCCTGTAAATGCAACAAAGGTTTTTAATGTAGTTATCTATAATTTCCCTAAAAGATGTTCTCTAAAATCCTTATTATATCATCCAATCAATGATGACGAGGAGCTGTGTGTTGGGTTTTGTAGAAAGGAGCAAACACATTACAAAATCACTGTACAATATTCACTACAACACATTAATATCAATAGCACATGTTATTTTTCTCTTAATCAAACTTCATTCTTACTTTGTTTTTCACCTAATTTATATAAAATAAGTTAAAATCTGGCATAAGCTGGTCAAAAAAAAATAAATATTCACAATGCTTCTTTGCATCAAGCTAAAATTAAATTGATACAGCTCAACCAATTGCAATGGATGGGCTGGTTACCAAGGGACTGTCACAATAAAAACTGTTTCTAGATTCATTAAAAACAATTTAACCTTATTAAAAGTTAGTAAAACAAAAAACAAAAAATTTTAATTTGTTTTTGTGTTTCATTTAAGTTAGAATATCTCCTCTTGTTGAACCTTTCATGCAAAAGCAGTCTAAGTGCAAACAACCATGGGGGATCTTTAGATTTGATTTTAGGCTAACATTTTCCAATTTATTGGTGTTATTTTATTTTCTGTTGACTGTGTGTAAACTGAGGCTATGCACACTTTTAGAAAAGACATTTCAATGACTCACTATTTTTTTAACTGAGCAAAATCACGTAACCCTGGATTTTTCTTTTCATTTATACTACATATATACTGAAAATCTGTCACTGGTAGGTAGTGATGAGCACAAAAGGGACTGCTTGCTGTCAGTAAAGGTTTTAGGGTTTTAGGTGGATGTTTAGTTGTAAAAGTAGCCAAATACCCTTTCAGTGTTGCAGTTATTCAGCACACAGAGGTTCTCCTCCAGCTGTTGATTGCACCTTCATTCATCCAATCCCAGTGAAGTGAATAGAACAGTTTGCAATTCATCATTCTAACCTTACTATGATTTCCCTTTTAAACTTGAACCCACCTCTGCCATCAAGTGGTTGCAAAGCTAATCTGCATCTCTCTTTTCCCACTTATTCCACCTCTTTTTCATCATTTATTCCCTTTCCCACACAGTCGTTCAGCTCACCACCTTCACATCCGAGGCCTAAGGCTCTCCAGTCGGTAGAGTTTACAGGAGAGAGGAGATGAGTGGGGGAAGCTGAGCTGCGGTTAATGGGCCACGTCAAGCACAAACACACATGAACTAAAAGACACACTGACACACACTCCCATGGCACTCCAAACACACCTGAGTCTCCGCTAAATTAAGGTCTCTACATTTAGCTGAGACACTCAAATATTCTTGCAGCTATCAGAAGACAAATACATGACAACAGAAGTGAATGCTTCCTTATCAACCATCAGACAAACGAGGAAATTCATTTGGGTTCATAGAAATTAATCGTACCTTTTGTAAAAGCTGGGATCCAGAATATTTTGCAGAAATTGATTTAATTTCTCCCCCAAAAGCAGAGGCCCAAAGCTTTACGCTGCCAAAAAAGTGAAAGACAATATGATAAATCGACAGACTTACCAAATTACATCAGCAAAAAAACATGAAAAGAGCTACGTTTGTGTATTAAACATGCATATAATGATGAGGTAACTTAACCAAGAGTTCATCCTTTCATCTGCAACTGTTGAGCTTTATCTGTTCTAGATTTCGTTGGGTTGTCAAAACATTTAGATGAAAATGTCACCGTAAAAATTCACCTTTTATGTACTTGTTGATAATTTTATCAAATGTTACTGACTTTTTTGTGAAACAACCTGTACCAGCAGAAACAATGTTCCACATACTTAGGTCTTTTCCATTTTAGACACCAACTACAAAGAAAGAAAGAAGGAAGTAGAAATGCAGTATGTGTACTTGCAGCTTTGTTAATGTAGGATTATAAATAAATTATAAAGTGTTTCCTATTATTTAAAAGGTTTCTCAAAGAGAAAGAAAATACTCTCTTTATCTTTTTTTATTATTGTTACTAATATTGTTATTCGTCACAAATTTCAATCTAAAGTTATACATTTCATGTGAAACCTAGGGGGGAGGAAATTGGATTAATTGTTGTTAAAGGCGTATAATGCAGTTTTTAATCCCCTGATCTTAAAAGAAAACACTAATTCCCTAAAGAATAGTAGACAAAAAAAAAAAAAAAAAAAAAAAAATATATATATATATATATATATATTTGAAATTGAAATATGTATTTGAATTAACGGTGGCTTCAAAAAGTTGATCCTAAAAAGTGAAAATAATGCAATGATAAGATTTATTTTATTTTTTTTAAAGACTATGCTCGTTATGTACTTTTTGATAAATAATAATCTCTGAATTGTGATTTCCTTTAAGAAAAAAAGCACTTTTTGTTGCGTCTTCTTTTTTAAGACACATAAGGAAACAAAATGTTAAGACATTTATGTAATGATTCTTTTAAATTAAGCAAATGTAAAGCTGAGGTAAGTCTTAAGAAGCTTTACAACAAAACAAGCAGTAGTTATTTTTCTGTAAAAAATTTAGTGTAGTTGTTTTCTCAATTTGATAATTTTGTAAATTTTTTCAAATTATACCAGGTGCAAAAGAAATAAGATGAAATTAGAGTGGTATTTTTCAGTCCTCTTTGCAAAATGTTTAGTAAACTAAACAAAAAATAAATAAATAAATGAAACAAAACATCCACCTAATTGTCACTCACACTGAGAGAGGAATCCCTTGCTGGGACCCCGCCACTGGTGCCACATTCCAGTCGATGGAGGTCCAGAGCAGAAGGAATGTGTGCAATATCTGGATCCCGCAGATTCCCTCCATTTCCAGTTCTCTGGAATATATCTGCACAACAAAAACCCAATGCAAGCACGTTGCAGCTCAATCCCCCCTACAGTGCAACTTCTCCCCCTTCTGTTTCCACTGCCAACCCGTCCTCAGCCCTACTACCGTATCAGAGTGTGAGAGAGCAAGAGAGAGAGCATCATCCTCCAGCGTGTTTCTCCATCTTTTCCTCCCCCCTTCCCTCCCCATTCAGCTCATGGTGCAGGAATTACAGAGCTCCTCTCTTTGTTTGCAGCTCAATAGCTCTGGGAAGCAGATTATTGTTTGTTAGGGACAATGCATGAGATTATTTCATTTCTAATGCAAATAAAAAATTGTGCATGGTTATATCAGTCATTGAGTTGCAGGGGGTAAAAATAAGTTGGTTACATTTTTGCACCCCTGCTCTCACAAAAACATCACTGTTATAAAATGTATGCATGTGGTTGCTCTAACATTATTGTAACTTAAATGTTAGACTTTTAAATTGATTATATAGCTGCATCAAAGAGAATTTCCTGCCAGGAAAGCACCTTTTCTATCAGACCTTAAACTATGCTAAATATTGCTATTTTAGTTGAGGAAACAGCTCCTGGGGTATAAATATAGTTTGAAGATAAACTTAAAACTGGCAAACATATTGGATTGATGGTAATTTAGCTCTGTATAAAAGTCTCTGCGGGAGTTAATGGAGCTGCAGATATCTAGTGAGGGCTCCAGCTCTGCTGCAAAAAAGGGAGAGATAGAGAGAGGGAGAAAAAAGGAGTTACAAACAGTGGCACCACTAGGGGGGGGGCTGGGTGGGCAATGTATGGGCAGGAAGCATTTTAATGGGTAGAAAATATTTACAGGTGTTTGTACAATTAGGCATGCAATTTCTTGTATGGTAGAATACCGTTTTTTTGGTATTTACATTATAGTGCCTCCTTTTTAGAATGTCACAGCAACTGTAGGCCCACATTTAGAAAAGTTACAGTAGTTAAAATAATTAGAAATGTGTTTTTTGAGGGGATTAAAAAAATTATCTGATAGGGAGCAGGTGTAGACAGATGTTCCTAGAAGGATCTAAGGGAAAGGGGACTGGCAAAAGTGGGCAACAGAGAGTAACTCAAAAAATACAACACCGCCTAAATGTGGCACAATATGGAAAAGAAAACGATGAACAAGAAAACACAGAATAACAAATCAAAGTGGAACTGAAAACTTAAAAAGAAACTCCAACAGAAATCCACATAGGCCACAATCATAACGACTACAAGTTCTGCAAGAATACCAAAACCTAATAACAATACATACAAAAAAACAATGTGTTTCATTAGTGTAGGACAGCCTTTCTCATTTATTGCCCCAGTCTGGTGGCCTGCACACTTTAGATGTCTCTCTCTTTTCATCGCCTGAATCAAATAGCTGAATTACCTCTTCAGAATGCAATCAAGTTCTTCAGAGTCCTGCTAATGATACAATTATTTAACTCAGGTGTGTTGAAGCAGAGAGACATCTAAAATGTTCAAAGACAACAACCCTCAGGGACCGTTACGGTGGAAGCCTGATGTAGGGTATTGTTTAACATTTAGAAATATAATATCGAAATTATGAAATGAAGTTTGAATGGTGTTTAGATTTACTAAGACTCAACAGTAACTAAAAAGAAACAACTCCCATGGAAGACAGATAAGACTTCTTGTGAGAAAGGACGGAGATTTACATTATCGATGTGCATTCTTCCGTGATTGGCTGAAGTCTTAATTAATCACTGCACATTGTTAACCAAAAGCAACCTCTCTGTGCCTATCCAGGCGCTGCTGGTGCTGCACTGCAGAGTTGAAACTCCTCATGTATGAAAACAGTTTCAGTGTCCCATTATTCAATCATACCGGAAGATGTCCCCATCGTCCTGCACTGTAAACGCTGATTATAAGGCGATAATCACGTCCGGGCATCAAACGGGTTGACGCAGTGCCTCCTATTCCTCCTTCCGTACACACTCCACCGCCTTCACCCTCCATAGGAACCTTGTTTCCACTTGAGGCTTTTATTAGACTCGTAATTGCATCGTACATCAAAGTTGTGAGGGGGCTCGTTGCTGCCTGTTACATGCCGATAAGGCACCTACATGTTGGATGACGGACAATATCATCCAATGTATTCTCTGACCGGCGGCCTGCGCACCACACTGACTCCTAAAATGTTTTAATTAACCAAAACCCATCACATAAAAACACCCTAGTCACATCACTGAGGAGAGTGTGCTGGTATTATTGGACCTGCTGTAGATAAGACTGATTGGACAGTCATAGCTATGTGTCCTTGAGCAAACCGAGGAACTGACTCACAGGGGTGGCTGCTTTATTTGTCTATAGAGGCTTTAATCGACACTTAATGCTGAACACAATCTTACTTTCTGAAATTTACTGTTAAATAAGCTTCCTTGCAGAGCAGTTAGGTGAAATCTCATTTTTAAGTCTTAGACAGCTTTGAAATTGCTGCCCAAATTAACTCACTTCTTAAGTAAAACCTAACAAATGTATTTGTTGAATTCATGTCCCGGTCAGGTTTACCATTAACTGAGTTTAAGGTGGTCTTGCAATTATGTACAGTAGACTTCCTCTAGGTATCAAGGTTGGGAAATAAACATGAGCTGTCCATGGTGCTGAATGCACTGCCATCCGTTCCAGTGAAGTAGACTTCCTCTAGGTATCCAGGTTGGGAAATATACATGAGCTGTCCATGGTGCTGAATGCACTGCCATCCGTTCCAGTGAATACACAATTCTCACTTGAGCTGAACGGAACAGCTTAATTCACTCACGATTCAGGCAAGGAAGCAATGTCATTTTTTTTTTTTATTATTTTGTGCTTTTAACTTTTAAAGTATTTTTGAGTAGAATGATATTTAATAGTGGGATTTTTCTTTTCTTTAAACTCTGACAGCGACAAAACAATTTGACAGATGTGCAAAACACCAAATCACATAAAAGAACAAAGTTATATAAGTTAAAGTGTACAGACATGAAATAGAAAAGAAAAACAAATGGTGGTTCACAATTAATAGAAGAGCTGTGGAAAACATGTCTGGGAAAATGGCACTTGCCAAAAACATACAGATTCAAAACTTCAAAGAATGGTATGCATGGGAAAAAAAATAAAAAAAATTCATTCTGCCCATAGAAAGTCTCCATCATTACTTACATTTATGTTAAAGAAAAAAAAAAAACATATTCACCAGAATACATACTGTAGAACTAACTATATCATGTTTTAGGTGACCATTAAATGCATATGAAAAAACAACTTCAATTAAATAGTTTCTTAATAAAAGCTTTGGGTCTCTTTAAGCTCTTTTAGGGAACTGTTACTGCAGCAATAATATAATCTGTTCTTTCAGAGGATGTTGCTTATCTTATAGATAACAACTATAACTCTAATAACCTTTATGAAAGACCTAAGTGAGGGGTATCTATCCCATTCATTAGTTTTCTCTGTATGCAAAATTAAAAATCTATAGAGTTGCTTCCAGTGGAATATGTTGTTCTCTATCTGTACTCCAATGCCCATTTTACTTAAAGCCAGTTGGTAAATAGTTATCTGTGAAGCCTAGCTTATGGGATCAAGTCCTTCAGTAACCAGCAGTTGTCCCTAGGCAGGTATGTTGTAGAGTAAAACAAAAGTCCTTCCTCTTATCAAGAGGAATCCTCCTGAAGAATAAGGCTTATCAAGCAGTGACCTGCAGAGACCAGGAAGGGTTGAGAAGACTGTAGGCCAACATGTTAAAATGCACAAGCCCTAATATTGAAAAGTTTATATAAGAAAAAATGTAAACCAATTCATAAGCAATCAGTTGCTCTGTCTAGAAAGGAAAACTCAGAAGCACCTTATCTAAGTAAGCTAACTAAGTACAGTAACTTTTGAAATGTGAATTTATTCCTGGTGATTTTTTAGTATATATATATAATTGTTTTAATTCAGTTTTGGTTTAATTTTTGTCATTTAACAGTTTAGATGGTTGAGATATTTTTAAGATTAATATCAAACGGAAAAAAAGTAATAATAAATGAAAATGTACTAAATTATAATTTTGTAAAATAGAATATTGATTTTGAATTGTTATTTTAAACCAAAAGAAATTTAAAACAGAAACTGTCCTATTAACAAAATAAAGTGCCTCAATGATAGTAATATTGAACCAACATACAGTACCTGCAAAAGTCTTACTGAACTTTTGCAGAACATTACAGAAAACACCTGACTTCAGTGACTGCTTCAACAATGCTATACACACACACACTCCAACACACATATATATATATATATGTGTGTGTGACTGTGTGTGAATTCCATGACTGGATTGGAAAAACAACTTTATTTAGTAATTAAAGCAAAGCCTTATGATGAGAGGCAGACAGTATTCAACCATTAACCTGTGTTGAACCTTCACAGCTATAATCCGCGTCTTGACTTGATTAAACATAAACCTCTTAGAAGGTGAAACTTCGGACACCTCTTGTCCAGCTCTCTTGTTAAATCTGTTGGCTTAGCCTCACCTCATTTCTTCAGCAGTCAAGGATTACTCCACTCAGGCCCCTTTTTGCCTGTTGTTGGTAACATGATGGAGTTATATGCTAGTACTCCAACATGACACAAATCTGACACTGATGTACAGACAGGTGTGACGGGGAGGGATTCTCAGAGCTTTAGAGTCTAAATATAATACATGCAGTCACTTGCAGAGTATGTTTGGTAATTGTTTTGGTAAATACTTATTTATAGCATAGCCCTATGGGTCTAAAATGGAGCAGTGCATTGTGTAAATAGACCCATGGCTTGTTACTTCAGCAGCTCAGAAATTCCAGGATGTTTACTTTGTTTTTCGAGCTGGAGCAAAAAATAGGAAGATTTGCATTAAAGAAAAACTTTAGGTTGTGTAGACCTATTATTGATTACTAGTGTAATCCAAATCTAAGGAAATAAATAACACATATCATCTTAAAGTGAAAAGCAAAGCAAGTCTTGCATTGACAAAAATTTTTTGTGTCATTAGATTAATTCACTTTCCTTTATGTCTATAATTCAGCAATTGTTTACTGCCTACACCTGTTTTATTGTTATCTACTGAGCCGATTCTGTACAGGCATATACCTAAAGTTATCTACTGAGCACTTACATGTCT